TTTTTACAGAACAGCTGAAACGTGGCTTAAAACCAAAGGGCTGCAGCTTCTTGGCAAACGGGGAGATATTTTGCTGAGCCACCTCAGCAGAAATTCCTCCAGGACACAATGTGAAATCGCTGCCCGCTTTGGTTGCTGGCGTCACTGCCATGAATGCAAAATAAATAAATAAATGTTTGGGTCAAGGCCACATTACACCATCCCCATGTCATTCGTCGGCTTCTCTCAAATCTGACGAGAAGGCAGGCCAGATTTTGACAGCGTGGGACAGTTGGCATTGGCTGGAAGACATGGTGTTCCGATTAGTTTTGGAAGCTGACAAAATAGGCCAGGAGTACCCACAATCTGAGGATACTTCACACACATGTACACCTTGGAGCAAAGGGGGGAAAAAAACCATTATTACTGTTTTTGGCATTTTTCTCCCCCTGGTTTTTACAGGGGATTGGGAATATTTATTTATGTATTTATGTATTTATGTATTTATGTATTTATGTATTTATGTATTTATGTATGTATGTATGTATATATGTATCTATGTATGTATGTATGTATGTATTTATTTATTTATTTATTTATTTATTTATTTATTTATTGGTTCGATTTATATGCCTCCCTTTCTCCGGAGACTCAGGGCGGCTTACAATGCAATGCATTGTACAAACAATGGGAAATTTAGGGCAAAAGAGGAGAGTTCAAGATTTTAAAACACAAAAGTAAAAAAGCTCGATTTAACTAGGGAATTGTAATAATTGAGATACTGTTAATTGTATAGTGTGTTGAAAGCAGAAATTTATTTATTTATTTATTGGTTCGATTTAAATGCCGCCCTTCTCCGGAGACTCAGGGCGGCTTACTTAATGCGTTAAGCAATAGCCTTCATACTTTTTGTATATACCTGCTTAGTAGGGCTTTCGCCCCCCCCCAAGCAGTGTTCTTTTTTATACAAAGTCAGCTTATGGTCCCCACAATCCGGGTCCTCATTTTACCTACCTCGGAAGGATGGAAGGCTGAGTCAACCTTGAGCCTGGTGAGATTTGAACTGGCAGTAATTGCAGACAGCTGGTGCTGCTTAACAGCACTTTAGCCTGCTGCGCCACCAAGGCTTTTCCAGTATTTGAGGGGCTGCCACAAAGAAGAAGTGGGGGTCAACCTATTCTCCAAAGCAGTGGTCACCAACTGGTGGTCCGTGGACCATTGGTGGTCCACGAGAAAATGTTGGTGGTCCGCAGAAATATTATTCGCATTTTTTATATTGCAATAAATAAGGGGTCCTCAAACTACGGCCCCTGGGCCAGATATGTACAATGAACGCTTGTGTTACTGCAGAGAGTCTCCCCCTTCGGGGTCTTTTTGTGCGGGTCGGAAGGGGGCAGAAATTCCGACTTGGGGTCTGCTTCGGCCTCCTGGTGCGGAGCTTCGGGTGAAGACTGGGGGAAGCATAACTGGTGGCGAAGAGCCCGAGGGCCTTGTTCCAGTGGGATTGCATCATGGCCTCGAACTGACTGACCATCTCAGCCCGCTGAGCCTCCAGGCGCCAGTACCTGGCTTTGCACTCCCACAGGTCTTCCCTCTGCTTGGAAAGCTTATGCTCCTAGTCCTCAGTGAGGTGCTTCTGCTGAGCCTCCTTCTCGGCCAGATCCAATCTGAACTGAGCCAGCTGTTTTGCCAGCTCTTTCTCGTGGTGGCTGCTTAGCTCCAACAACTGCTTTCTGTTGGGGACCCTAGAGGAGAGGGGCGAGTAAAGGCCGGCGAGGCGCCTCTTCGACGTGACTGACATCAAATTGGCCACGCCCACCCAGTTACATGACCACCTAGCCACGCCCAGCCAGCCGGTCATTAGACAGATCATATTAGTGGTCCACGGCAGTGGTGGCTTCCTCCCGGTTCGGTCCGGTTCGGCCGAGCCGGTAGCGGTGACGATATGATGTCACCGAACCGGTTCTCCCCCCCCGCCCTCCCACCCCCCCCACCCACGTTATTCTTACCTTTTATTTGGTCCCACCCCCAATCTATTGCTGCCTCCTGAGTCCCAGCTGATGACTAGAGGGAAAAAAAACTGTTTAAACTCTTGCCGCGGGGTTTCAAAGGGCCGTCCTACAGCTGATCAGTGTTAAAAGCAAACAAATGAGTCGGGTCGTAAGTACGAGGACCTTCCAGAAATGACTCTGACCAGCTAGCCACACCCACAAAATAAGCCACGCCCACAGAACCTGTAGTAAAAAAATTTAGAACCCACCCCTGCCTCCAACCTCCCTTCCAGCTCTATTCTGACTGATTGAATTCAGTGCAAGCAGTCAGTCAGCCATTTCTGCAGTTAACCTGGAAGTAGAAGGCTGATGTAGGGAATCGCTCGGCTTCTGCTTCAGTTGGAGTTTGCGCGAAGGCCAACTTTTATAGAGACCTGGATCGGGAAGAAACGGGGGCCTCTAATTGAGTTGGGAAATACACATTTAGGTTTCAAAAAGAGTATTAGGGACAGGGTGGATTTGATTTAAATCGAGTTGATTTAAATCACAATTTAAATCATGATTTAAATCACTAGTAAAAAGGCTTGATTTAAATCAACTCGATTTAAATCATAATTTTTAAAGAGCACCTGTCATCTCTGCTACTCCTTTGACCCACTGTTGACTCACCGATAGTCCCAGTGTTGCAGAATATACAGCCTCGTGCTACATAACTAAGCTCCATTTCATGCTGAATAAACTAAATTATTTATGTATCTTAAATAGAAAACTATCATACGATAGATTTTTACCCCAAAAGTTTTTTATTAAAATAAATTCGATAAAAATTTTAAAAAACCGATTTAAATCAAAAAAATCCAATTTAAATAAAAAAAATCTGGGTTTTTTTTTATTTTTTTAAAAAAATCATTGATTTTTATCCACCCTGATTAGGGAATGCTCATCTACGATATATATTTTAGGGTTAGGGTTAGGAAGACAGGAGGAAGGAAAAGAAGAAAGAGAAGGGAGGGAGGAAGGGGAGGGAGGAAGGAAGGAAGGGATGGAGGACTGGATATGTCCTTTTCCTACCCCACACCTCTGTCCTTCTGTGCTGTATCTTTTTAAAAGTACAAACTTACTGGCCAGCCCTTTCAAATCAGGGGTGGGATCAGTGCTGAAATCCAAAATTTTGTTACTACCGGTTCTGTGGGCGTGGCTTGGTGGGCATGGTGTGGCTTGGTGGGCATGGCCGGGAAAGAATAATGCAAAATCCCCATTCCCACCCCACTTCAGGGGAAGGATACTGCAAAATCCCCATTCCCTCTCCACTCCTGGGGAAAGGATAATGCAAAATCTCCATTCCCACCCCACTCCAGGGGAAGGATACTGCAAAATCCCCATTCCCTCCCCACTCCTGGTGAAAGGATATTGCAAAATCTGAATTCCCACCCCACTCCAGAGGAAGGATACTGCAAAATCCCCATTCCCTCTCCACTCCTCGTGGAAGGATATTGCAAAATCTCCATTCTCACCCCACTCCAATGGAAGGATACTGCAAAATCCCCATTCCCACCCCACTCCAGGGGAAGGATACTGCAAAATCTCCATTCCCTTCCCACTCCAGGGGAAGGATACTGCAAAATCCCCATTCCCTCTCCACTCCTGGGGAAAGGATATTGCAAAATCTGCATTCCCACCCCACTCTGGGGCCAGCCAGAGGTGGTATTTGCCGGTTCTCCGAATTACTCAAAATTTCCACTACCAGTTCTCCAGAACCTGTCGGATTTCACCCCTGAGTGGGATTCAGCCGGTTCGTACCGATTCGGGTGAACCGGTAGTTGTGACCTACGGGTAGTCGTGCCCAGTCCGCCCACCCGCCCCAGCGCTATGCTGTCCTATTTAGCTGCGTTTTTTAAGTCACGTGCAAGCACGTGCAAAAGCAAAGTGCATGCACAGAAGACCGTGCTCATGTGAGGAAGGTGTGCTCTCACATTTTCCGTGCTGGGGCGAACCGGTTGTTAAATTATATGAAGCCCATCTCCATTTCAAATTATTATCTTTGGGAATCTTTCAGGCTGAAGGTAACAAGAGTTAAAAGGAAGGAGAAGGAGATCGTTGAAATGGATCTTCCTCCCTATCCTCTATTCCCCAGTTTCTGCACACAAAGCTGATGAGGTTCTCGGGAGAATAAAAATTGTGCAACGGTAACATCCCAATCCAGCCTTTTGCAGTTGGTGCTTGCACAACCTTCTCAACCTGGCAACAGAGTTAACCCCTTTTCTGTGCTGCATTGGATCACAAACTAACTAAACCAGTTGGGTTTGCTCAACAGACTTTGCCAATAAAGCTAGCAAAGCAGTGGTGAAATGCTCCGAGATCTGCCACTGATTTGTTGTGCGTGCATGCGTGGTACGTGCCAAACGGATGCTGTGCATGTGTGCCAAACACGTGCTTTGCGTGCATGTACACCGCAGATCCTACCGCGCAGCGCTGAAAAAGGAGGCTTAAGAAGGTGAGTAGAACAGCGAGGGAGGGGGAACAGCTGTGCCGCGCGATTTAGATTCGCTAGAAAGCAGGATTTCCTAGGGAATATAAATCGCGCAGCACAGCCAGGGGTGAAATGCTGCCGGCTCTATCCGGCTCACGGGATTTGATAGCGACAGCAATGAGTAGTTTGGAGAACCGGTAGTGGCGGCAGCAAGTTGCTCCACCCGCCCAAACCGGGACATCGTCACATCCCAGTTTGACGATCTGCGCGGCGGCGTGCACATCAGCGAACCGGTAGGAAAGGTAAGTACATTTCACTCCTGGGCACAGCTGATTGTTGGAAATACCAATTCAGACCAACCACTAGCATTTTTTTTTAGTACCAGTTCGCTTTTATTATTAGCGGTTCGTCCGAACCAGTGCGAACCGGTAGCATTTCACCCCTGTATCAAAGAATAAAATTAACCAAATTTAGGCCTCTGCGGATCGTTGCACCAATGCAGTCATCTTGCTGGAATCCTTCCTCTGACTTATTCGGTATCCAAATGAAAAAGGGAAGTGTAAGATATCCAAGGGTGTCTTTAATCATCATTTTCAATGGCCAAACAATTGAACAGGAAGAAGGGTGTCGATTGTAGTTGCTAGTCCACACAGAGCCACACTGAAAGCTAGAAACCAAAGCCAGGTCTTCCCCTTTGCATCTGTAAGAAATAAACATGTAAAATCAGCACTTGGTGGGTGAGAAGTCTCAATCCTCTCACTAGAAACTGAGCACACTGTCTTGTACCGATAGAAGAGAACGTTTGTAGCTCAGCATTGAACTGTGGAGTCTTTGGTGCTCTCTGAACTTTGGTGTTTTCTTGCAGACGTTTCCTTACCAAACTAGCAGGGGTGAAATACTCCTTGTTCGGATCGGATCGCTCGATCTGGTAGAGATGGAGCTGGGTGGCAAAAATCCCTGCCCCCCCCCACCGCATTGCCCAGCTGAGCCGCGCAATCATCAGAGGCTTTTTAAATTATTTTTAAAAGCATTTTTTCTACAACCTCTTTGGCCGAAAAAATGCTTTTAAAAGTTTTTTTAAAAAGCCTCTGATGATCACGTGGCTCAGCTGGGATCATCAGAGGCTTTTAAAAGCATTTTTTCTACAGCCTCTTTGGCCGAAGAGGTTATAGAAAAAAATGTTTTTGAAAGGGAAAAAAGTCTCTGCCGATCAGGCAAGTCAGCTGGGATCGTCAGAGGCTTTTAAAAAAATAAAGCCTCTGCTGATCAGGCAAGTCAGCTGAGATCGTCAGAGGCTTTAAAAGCATTTTGTTACAAGCTCTTCAGCCGAAGAGGTTGTAGAAAAAAATGGTTTTAAAAGTAAAAAAAATAAAATAAAGTTGGCCACGCCCACTCAGTCATATTACCCTCCTCCACCACCAAGCCACGCCCACAAAACCAGTAGTAACAAATTTTACATTTCACCACTGCAAACTAGGTAACATCATCAGTGTTAGAAGAGAGTGTGGTTTTGCTCTCTGTTAGTATACTAGTGGCTTGCCCTGTCAGGATTGGTGGGAGTTCTACTAGTACCGTGATGGTGAACCTATGGCGCACGTGCCCAAAGTAGCACATGAAGCCATGTCGCCTGGCATGCGCGGCCTTGCCTGTTTGTCTTCTGGGTTCCTGGCATGCATGAGCGCCAGCCAGCTGATTGTCGGGTGCACATGCAGGCCAGAACTTGGAAGTTCGGCTTTTCCAGAGTGTGATCCTTTCACACGTGTGGCAGTGCCAAAAACCGGGCTGCACATGCACGCCGGCCAGCTTGTTAGGGTGTGTGTAAAAAGTATTTGTTGCTTGTGCAACAAGCAGAGTAGAAACACACAGGGAAGGAGATAAACGTGCAGCTCATGTGAGAAAAATACTTTATATACAAGATAATAAGCAGTCTCGGTGTAGGTAAAACAGTCCAAGGTCATAAACAGTAATATCAGTCCAGTAAGTATCGTCCCTTACCAAAGCAAACAGACTTTAGTAACTCTTGGTATACAATACCATATAACAATTCAGTCTAACACCAATCAGCAGAAAGACGCAGGAAGCAACAGGAACAGGATCAATCAGGAACAAAGAACGCTTCTCTGTGCTGCTTATTTATGCACTGTAGCCTAATTACAGGGTTCAGCAAACCCTGATTACGTGGCTCAGTTATTTCTTAAAGAAACAGATATATTGCCTGACCAACAAGTTAGGAGTAAGCTACAAGCTGAACCTAACACAGCTGATTGTTGGGTGCACATGCACACTAGAACTCGGAAGTTCGGCTTTTCTGGAGTGCGACTCTGATGAGCACGCACGGGTGTGCGCTAAGTTTCCGCATGATTTTTTCAGCACTTGGTGCCCAAAAGTTTCGCCATCACTGTACTAGTATATAAAAATAACAATAAACTCCACTCCCGTCTAAACTGATATTACCTAGTTTGGTAATGCAAGGTCCCCACACAGTCCTGTAACAATATTTTTGTCCTGTTTTTAACACACTCAGCCCTTTTCTTGTTACCCACTCTTTTTTCTAGCTGTACATGCCTTTCTAATTCTATTAAACTTTATATTATAAAATTTATTCAATTTATTATAAGATAAAATACAAATACAATTTGAAAAAGAGAGGAAGAAAAAATACAGAAAGAAGTACAAAAAAAAAAAAAAATTAGTGACTTCCAACTTTTTTTTCCAGGGTAGTAGAATACGAAAATAAGGGCCAGCCTCTTGTTTACATTTCTAAATGTAAGTCCCTTGGAAGTTGGGCGGCATAGAAATATGATTAATTAAATTAAATTAAATCTTTCAAGCTATTTCTATAACCACAAAATCCTTCTAATTCTCAAAACTTAAAATCAGAGTTTCATTTTATTCAGTGTTGAGGACAACGTCCAGAATGGGTTTCCAAAAGGAAACAAAATTAGATAATGTCTTCTTTTGAATTAGCATTTTTCCATTCACCGCCCATTCTTTTTAAGTGGAGACACCAAGCGTCCATACTTCCAAACAATCACTTTCTGGGGAGGTAGGGAAGTGGAAGGGGAAGGGGAGATTCCAGTTGTGAAATCCATTTTTTTTTTTACTACCGGTTCTGTGGGCGTGGCTTGGTGGGCGTGGTGTGGCTTGGTGGGTGTGGCAGGGGAAGGATACTGCATAATCTCCATTTCCACCCCACTCCAGGGAAAAGATACTGCAAAATCTCCATTCCCACCCCACTCCAGGGGAAGGATACTGCAAAGTCTCCATTCCCTTCCCACTCCTGGGGGAAGGATATTGCAAAACATCCATTCCCACCCCACTCAGGGGCCAGCCAGAGGTGGCATTTGCCGGTTCTCTGAACTGCTCAAAATTTCCGCTACCGGTTCTCCAGAACCTGTCAGAACCTGCTGGATTTCACACCCCTGGGAGATTCCCACTTTATCAATCTGAAGTTTCTTTATCTTAATAGTACAGCCTATTTCTGATGATGGATGTGCTTCTTCTGTTGAGTGACAGAAGTGGTTTTCGGTGAGTGGGTTATTTTATACCTGAAAAGGCATGTTTTTAAACAGGAGGAAAAGAAGAAGGAAAGAATTTGTGGATAGCAAAAAAATAAATAAATAAAAATGCAATGATTAAAGTTAGCACCCACCCCAACATGAAATATGTTGGGAAATATTTAAAAAAAAGGTAGAATATTATATTTCCTTAAAGGAGAAACATGCTCTTGGAAAGCAGCCGTCCACCTTTCTTAATAGCCCCAGCAGGACTGGGCCAGCCTATCTACAAGACAAAAAACCTTCAGCTCCAGGGTGATGGGATTAAGACATGATCCCTCAGGACATAATAGGATTAGCCCTCTACTATCTAGCAGCAGAGCTCACTAGATGGCACAACAAACCCCTTCACTGCATCACCCAGCAAGCGTCAACCAAGCCTGGGACTCAGACAGCCTACAAAGTTAGCAGTGACCTCTACAACAACCAACAGAATACATTTCTTGCTCAGGAACAGGAAGCTCAAGGGCAAGGGCCAAGAGAGAATACAAATAACCCTCACTCTCCACTCCATGTGTTCAGCTGCACCAGGACCTCAAACCCATGTGGTCCTGTTCATCAATAAACCATTTTTCCAATCAGCCTCCATGTTTCCAGTGTTTTTCTCCTCACTTGGAACTGAACCAGATGGCTATTTCGTCCAACAGAGATTGTGTTAGATTTGGAAGGAGTACGAGACTATTGATATAAAAAGTGGACATTTTGTGTCGTTTCAAATCGACTTAGCACTATTGAGCTCCGGGCACAAAGAAGTTACAGAAATCTCCTAGTGTTACCTTGCATTAAGATGGGTGGTTAATAAATTTAATAATAAATCAATAAATCTCACCCATGCAGCTCCCGTTCTCCTCCATATTCACCTAGGAAATTCTGAAAATCTTATATTGCACAATTGCAAAGAAGAAAAACTGATGCCTTCAGAGTCACTGAATTTATTTTTTTTTTTCATAATAAGCAACAAAACCTCACCTGTTGAAGCGCCGCCTGCTAAGTGGGAGACATGTCCATTTGCCGCTCTTTTCTTCTGGTAAGCTGCAAGAGGCAAGTCATAAATAAATTTCAGCAGGATTTTTTTTTTTAAAAAAAAAACACAGTTACTATGTTTTGCCTGCAATCATTGATGTAGAAAAGGGCTTGGTTTGGACTGCTTAGAAATGGGGTTCGGCCAGTGGTGGGATTCAAATAATTTAACAACTGGTTCTCTGTCCTAATGACCCGCTGGGTAGGCATGGCCCGGTAGTCATGTGACTGTGTGGGCATGGCCAACTCAACATCACTCACGTCGATGGGCGCTTCGCCTTATCTGTTACAATGTAATAAGGGTTCACCAGAGAGGCAGTTTCTGTAAGCAGGGCGATAAAGATTAGGCTAGAAACAACACTAGAATGTTTCAGTTCCTTACAGGATTAGCCCTGTAAAGTGGAAAAGAAACAAGATAAGATTTCTTCCAACAACCAGTTCTCTGAACTGCTTAGAAAGTTAATAACCGGTTCTCCCGAATAGGTGCGAACTGGCTGAATCCCACCACTGGGTTCAGCATTTAGGGGAGCAAAGGAAGAGGGTGTGGGAACTAGACTTCTCGGGCCCTCCCCTTCAGGCTTTGCAGAGGGTTGCACTACATTTCCCAGCATTCCTTGCAAGTTGTCCCTGCTGGCTGGCTTATTCTAACACAGTTTTTTTCAACCTTGGCAATTGTGGACTTCAATCCCCAGAATTCCCCAGCAAGCAATGAATTCTGGGAGTTGAAGTCCATGTCCATGACGACCTCCCACCGACCTGTGTGCTCCCACAGAGAGGACCCCCTCGGGGTACCATCAGCCAAACAATGTAGGCTGGCGACCCCCAGGGGGAGGGCCTTCTCTGTGGGGGCACCTACCCTCTGGAATCAGCTGCCCCCTGAGATAAGGAGGATCCAAAACCTCGGTGCCTTCCACCGTGCCCTTAAAACTTTCTTTTTTCCGCAAGCCGGGCTGGCTTAACATATTTTTTAATATTTTTAATTTTTAATTGGTTTGTTATCTTAAATTGGGGCCAAATTAATATATATCCTTTTAATTGATTTTTAATGTTTATATTCTATGTTTTTATCTGGCTGTACACTGCCCTGAGTCCCTCAGGAGAAGGTGCGGTATATAAATTCGAGATAAAATAAAAATAAATAAAATGTATCTTTAAGCTGCCACTGTGGAGAAACACTAGTCTAATAATATCTGGTTCAGACAGCTGTGTCTTGGTTAATTGTACAGATAATCCTCGACTTACAACAGCTCGTTTAGTGACCGTTCAAAGTTAGTTACAAGGGTCCCGAAAAAAACAACTGACTTATGACCATTGTTCACACTTATGACCATGGCGGCAGCCCCATGGTCCCGTGATTTACATTCGGATGCTCGACAGGCGGTTCATACTTATGATGGCCGCCATGTCCCCGGGGCCGTGAGATCCCCTTTTGCGACTGGGGTTGTAAGTCGAGGACTACCTGTGGTTTATTCAACAAACCCCAATGTCTGAGGAAATCACCCAAGAAGCTCAGTCAAAAATTTTTTTAAAAAACAACCGCGTGGTAATTTAGTAAAGTCTATAAACACAGCGAACAGAGAAGGCTAATTTCTTTCCGTCTCTATTACAACCTATTCTTCGGTGGGACAGCATCTCTGCGCACTGTGGGAAGCGCCCCCTCTCTCCTAGAAGAATGAAATATTTTGAGGAATATTTTAAAAAAGGCAGAATATTATATTTCCCTAAATGAGAAATGGAGAAACGTGGGGTTTTTTTAGAGGCAGGAAGCAGCCCCAGTCTCCCTGCTCCCAAGCAGAAACCGAGGAGGCAGTCTTTAGAAATGCAGATTTGGTAATCCACTCAATGTAGGATATTTTCAAACAAAGGCAGAATGGTAGGATTAGAAGCAGCCCAGAGCAATCTCCCAAAGCCCCTTCATTGCACCAACCCCCAGCAGTTCAAAGTCACAGAAACCTGGGAGCTCAGATAAACAATACACTAGAACCATAATGGCGAACCTATGGCATGCGTGCCACAGGTGGCATGCGGAGCCACATTAGTGGGCACGCCAGCTCAGCTCTGGGGCACATGCGCGTGCCGGCCAGCTGATTTTCGGGCCTTCTGGGCCCACCAGAAGTAGGGAAACAGGCTGTTTCCTGCCTCTGGAGGGCCTGAGGGTGGGGTGGGGAAGGCCCGTTTTTCTTTCTTACCTGGCTCCAGATCCTCTCTGTGTTCTGGGAAGGGTGAAAACAGCCTTTCCCACTCTCTTGGAGGCACTACGGAGGTTGAAAGGGCCCATTTCCCGACTCCCAGTGGGACAGGAAGTGACGTTTTTTCCTGTCCCCAGCCTCCAGAGACTCCTAAAGAGGCTCCTAGAGACTCCTAGAGAGGCTCCTAGAGACTCCTAGAGAGGTTCTGGAGGCTGGGGACAGCAAAAAATGTCACTTCCTGTCCCACCGAGAGTTGGGAAATGAGCCCTTTCAGCCTCCGTAGGGCCTCCAAGGGAGTGGGACAGGCTGTTTTCGCCCTTCCCAGATACACAGAGAGGATCTGGAACCAGGTAAGAAAGAAAAACGGGCCTACCAGGCCATCATGTGCCAGGAGCGGGAGGGGGGAGGGGGTTACGCACGTATGCACATGGGCACGTGCGTGCGCGACCCTCCCCCACCCCCCCTCTCCTGGCACGCGATGGCAAAAAGGTTAGCCATCACTGCACTAGAAGGTTGACCAAATTAGCTCAGACAAGCACCTAGGATTTGCATTTCCCCTTTTGCCTGTAGAGCCAGATATGACCCCTACATAACCCCTCCATGACTCCATAGGAATCTGACAGCAACCAATAGAATACATCAGGGGTGAAATCTAAAATTTGTTACTACCGGATCTGTGCGCGTGGCTTGGTGTGTGGGTGGGTAATGTGACTGTGTGGGCGTGGCCAACTTTTTTTTTTTTTTTTTACTTTTAAAAGCATTTTTTCCACACCCTTAGAGGTTGCAGAAAAAAATGCTTTTGGAAGCCTCTGACGATGAGGCAACTCAGCTGGGATTGCCAGAGGCTTTTAAAGGCATTTTTCCCCCCCTGCAACCTCTTTGGCTGAAGAGGTTGTAGAAAAAATGTTTTTAAAAGCCTCTGATGATCCCAGCTGAGTTGCCTCATCATCAGAGGCTTTTTTTTTTTTTTTTACTTTTAAAAGCATTTTTTCGGCCGAAGAGGTTGTAGAAGAGCCTTGGTAGCACAGTGGTCTAAGGCACCCTGTTATTAAGCTGGTTATTAAGACCAGATGCCTGCAATTACTGCAGGTTCGAATCTCGCCAAGGCTCAAGGTTGACTCAGCCTTCCATCCTTTCTAAGGTAGGTAAATTGAGGACCCAGTTTGTGGGGGCAATAAGCTGACTTTGTATAAATATACAAAAGAATGAAGGCTATTGCTTAGCGCATTGTAAGCCGCCCTGAGTCTCCGGAGAAGGGCGCATATAAATCAAATTAAAAAAAAAAAAGAGTAAAAAAAAAAAACAAAACCAGCCTCTGATGATCGCACGGCTCAGCTGGGCGGGGGGGCGGCAGGGATTTTTGCTACCAGTTCTCTGAACCACCCGCCACCATCGCTACTGGATCGGGCGATCCGGTCCAAACCGGGAGCATTCACCCCTGGAATACATGTTCTTGCACAGTAACAGGAAGCTCAAGTGCAGAGCCCAAAGAAGGTATTAAAAAACCTCAACTCTCAGCTCCATTTTGTCAGCTGCCCAGAACCACATGTGGTTCTGCTTCATTGTTAAACCATCTTTCCAATTGGCTTCTATATTTCCAGTGTCTTTCTCCCAGCTTGGAACTGAACCAAATGGATATTTCTTCCAACAGCACTAAGCAGGGGCCCTTCTCTAAGCCTTTTCTTATGACAAGGCTTAAAACATTTTAGGGACTCTAAGCACCCCAGTCTTGTCTCGACAGCACTGTTTTTCAAGCCACATCAGCCCACCCTTAGGATCGATCTAATTTAGGATCTCCAGCAGGCGAAGACATTCTTACCTTTGAGATGAAAGGGGTGGAGTCCGGCAGCCACCCCCTCTTTCAGTAATCGTTGTGCCCATACTCGGAGGGTCTCATCGAGCCGGTAACGGCAGCGCAGAGTCAATCTAGCCATCCAAGGGAAAAGAAGCAGTGCCATGACATCTCCCATCACAATCAGAGGTGAGATTCAGCCGGTTCGGATCAGTTCGGGTGAACCGAATGCTAATTTTACATCCGGTTCGCTGAACCGGTAGTTGCAAGGATTGGCTGGTCACGCCCATCCCACCCCTCCCCTCCCAGGAGTCTCCACACGGCATCTTTTGGATGCCAGGTAAGTGCGGAGGCTTTGGGAGGGCAAAAAATGGGCCTCCTGGAAGTACCAAGAGTCTGGAAAGAGGCCCGTTTCTGGCCTCCGGAGCCCAGGGGATGCCATTTTCACCCTCCCGGAGGTTCAAAAAAAGCCTCCAGAGCCTGGGGTGGGCGAAAACGCCTCCCACCACCCATGGTGCAGGAGGTTGAGTAGGCCACGCCCCCATGGCCACGCCCACCCAGCAACCGGGTCGAGAACCAGTTGCTAAAATTTTTCAATCCCACCCCCTGATCACAATATTGTACAATTTGACATTTTACGTCCTGACTGTTGCAATGCGTTCTTCGTGGGGCTGCCCTTGAAGCTCCAACGGGTTCAAAATGCAGCGGCCCGCAAGGTTTTGTGAAGACCTGGGTGTGCATATGTGTTGCCTCTCCAGTTGCATTGCAATTTGCTTTCCAGGTGCAATTCAAGGTGCTGGGTGTCACCTTTAAAGGCCTACAATGTGGCTTGGGACCAGCTTATCTGAAGGATAGTCTCCTTCTGGTTACATTCAGCTGACCCACTGTTCTGCCCCAGCTACGGACCCCAAAGAACGCAGCACACACAAAGTCTGTACAAACCTTAGTTTACTAAATTAAATCAGTCTTTTTCAAACAAAGGCTGTTAATTAACTTTCTTAACAGCCTACAAGAATCCAAAGAATAAATAATCGTAATCTTACTATGGTTGGCAGAAAGCCCAGAAGCAATTTGCAGAGAATCCAGACGCGAAGGAGAATGAACTAAGGTTGTTCCCTACAATTTGCTTCAGTCGGCGTTCCTCCTTAAATAGGCTAAGGGAGTGGCCAATTAGCCCCAAGCCTTACTCTCGAGGAGACCTCCTCCTGAGGAGCCACTCCTGCCTTTTGGCAGCTCTGCGCACCTGTGCATCGAGAAGAGGCTCCTCCTCTTTGTCCTCTTCACTTATGGGAGCTTCTGGAGGTTCTGAAGGTCCTGGCTGAATCCCCGCCTCTGGCACCACATCTTCTCCAGCCTCCTCATTGTCCTACTCGAGTGCCAGCTGCACAGGCTGCTGGCGCAGCACCACACCGGCCTCCTCGCTGCCTGAATCAGCTACTAGCTGCACAGGCCGCTGACGGGCCACAACACCCACTAGGGTAGGGAGAGGCAGGGAATGCTGTGGGTCCCCTCTCCTAAGGAGTCCCAAAAGTACTTTTCCAAGAGGCAACTGGACTTTGTTTTTCCTTAAAGAGGTTCTACTTCTTGTCTAAGAAGCTTCTTGGGTTCTATCAGAAGACATTCCGTCTTCTGATAGAACAAGGAAGGAAAAACAAAGAAAAGACCAATCGCCTCTTGAGAAAGCACCTTTGGGACAACCATGACCTGGATGACGGAGAATCTGCATGGACCCTCTCCTAAGGAGGTACATCTGGCGGGACCCAGAAGAAGGACCTTCTGTGTGGTGGCTCTCACCGTCTGGAAAATAATCCCCGCATTGATTAGACTGGCCAACATTTTGATACACTTTCGCAAGACCCCGAAGACCTGGTTTTGCCAACGGGCCTTTGGAACCCAGAATGGGATGGAGCCCCTCAAGTGGCTTGTTTGATTGTTGTTGTTGCCGGGTGTGTGCAGGGGTTGGCTGCTGGGCGTTCGCAGGGATTTGGGAGAACCTCTAGCTAAGATTCTGTGCAGTTCTGAGAACCCCCAAATCCCACTCCTGGCTGGCCCCGCCCACCCCACCCCTCCCCTCCCAGGAGTCTCCACATGGCCCGTTTTGGATGCAGGTCGGAGGCTTGGGGAGGGCGAAAAATGGGCCTACCAGAAGTTCGGAAAGGCCACAAACGGGCCCGTTTCCGCCTCCAGAGGGCCTCCAGAGCCTGGGGAGGCCGTTTTCGTCCTCCTGGGGGCTTGAGGGAAGCCTCTGGAACCAAGGGAGGGCATAAACACCCCTCCCCTCGCCGTGGTGCAAGAGGCTGACTAGGCCACGCCCACCATGGCCACGCCCACCTAGCAACGGGGCAGAGAACCCCTTGCTAAAATTTTTGAATTCCACCCCTGGATGTGTGCGTGGAGAGTTATTGTTTTTACTGTTTCCATATTCTGTTTTTATTTTTTGTAAGCTGCCCCGAGTCACTGCGAGTGAGTGGGTGGCCATATAAATGGTCTAAATAAATAAATATCCAGTAATTGCTCCAGGTGGAACATCTTCCTCTAGGAGAGTCCTTTTTTTCCCTTTTATTTATTTTTTGCTTTTTACCTATACTGAGGGTCCCTGGTTATGACGGGTTTTTCTTCCGGAATCATCTCTCTCTCGAAGATCACTTCGTTTTCATACACCAAGTAGTTTTCTTCAAACTGAAAGAGGAGAGGCAAAAAAGACGATGCAAAACATTTAAGTTTCACCGGAAGTGTTGGCCGAACACCTCTCAGAACTTAACCACCAAGGGCCAATCCTGCTGCACGAGACAAGTAGTCCTCGATTTACAACCGAAATCTTTTATTTTTAGGCCTACTACTTCCCCATATCCCTCCAGCATTTCCATCAGCCTAACACCAGATTGTACTGGCTCTTCGATAATAAAGACAAGATCGTCCGCAAATGCCTGTACTTTAAAATTTTCTTTCCTTATTTTTAAACCTTTGATCTGTTCGTCTTCTCGAATTATTCTAATTAAGATCTCTAATGATAAAATCAACAATAATGGTGATAGCGGACAACCTTGTCTTGTTCCTTTTTGGATTGGAAAGTTCTTTGTCGTTTCCCCATTGATTACCACTTTGGCCTCCTGTCTAGAATAGATTGCTTTATACATCCTTATAAATTTTTCCCCAAAATCCATATAAGTTAATTGTTCTAATATAAAGTCCCATTTAACATTGTCAAAAGCTTTTTGCGCATCGATAAATATCAATGCCTTCTGTTTTTCATTACGGACTTCATAATATTCTATGGTATCTAAAATAGTCCTGATGTTGTTCCTTATATGCGACAGAGGTGGGTTTCAGTAGGTTCTGACCAGTTCTGGAGAACCGGTAGTGGAAATTTTGAGTAGTTCGGAGAACTGGTAGTAAAAATTCTGACTGGCCCCGCCCCCATCTATTCTCTGCCATCTATTTCAGCTGATTGGGAGGAAATGGGGATTTTGCAGTAACCTTCCCCTGGATTGGGGAGGGAATGGAGGTTTTACAATATCCTTCCCCTGCCATGCCCACCAAGCCACGCCCACCAAGCAATGCCACGCCCATCAAGACACACCCACAGAACTGGTAGTAAAAAATTTTGAAACCTACCACTGCACTGCGACCGTCATAAATATGAACCAGTTGCCAAGCCAGTTTTGAATTTTGATGGTGGGACTCCATGAAGGGCATCACATTTTCTTCTGGAGAGACCCCAGCCCCTTTCTTCCCCCACACACCCAAAATACTAGGATCTCCCAACCTGGAATATGTTTTCACACCTCCATTTGGCACTGGGCATTTGGCACCTATTTTTTTTTTTAAATTGTCAAGTACTTGAATAAATATGAGGATGGGTGGGTGAAACCTATTAAGTTCATGCTGCATTTTCAGCATTTAAAGATCAGCTGTCCTGAAAAATCCATGTGATTATTTCTAAATTGTTTCACAAGGTTTGAAGTGGTGATGGAAATAGTGAAGCTGAAGAAATTCGTTCTTGACATGGAGATTCAGTCAAAAAAGCCAACAGTGAAAATCTACAGATCTTGAAATCCTCCTGTTTTGAAACCTCACAGAACAAATATTTATTCTTTGACTAGCTTTAGGCTTTGTGGGAAATATTTTATATGAAATATGACAGAGAGAGCGGGGGAGAGAGATATTAGATAGATAGATAGATAGATAGATAGATAGATAGATAGATTAGATAGATTAGATAAAATAGATATAGATAAAGATCAGATTAGATAGATAAAATAGATTAGATAGATTAGATACAGTAGATAAATAAGATAGATAGATTAGATATATTAAATAGATTAGATAGATTAGATAGATAGATAGATAGATAGACAGATAGATAGATTAGATAGATTAATATAGATAAAGATTAGATTAGATAGATAGATAAAATAGATACATTAAATAGACAGACACACAGACAGATAGATTATTGGTAGATTAGATAGATAGATAGAGAGATAGAGATAGAGATAGATAGATATAGAGATACAGATATAGATATATGAAAAAATATATGAAATATTTTGGGAAATATTTTTTAAAAAGGCAGAATATTATATTTCCCTAAAGGAGAAATGGAGAAACATGTTCTTAGAGGCAGGAAGCAGCACCCCACCCCCCCAAAGTTTTTCTTAATAGCCCACAACAGAGGCTGGCACTTGAGGAGATAAAGAGCTTATTGAAAGAGGGAGCCAACTATCTAGATGGCTCCATTCATAAGCAAAGCAAATACTGCAGACAGACATCTGTTCAAGACAGGATATTTCAAAACTCCTCGCAGCAAAGTTGGACGGCTAACGAAAGCAGAACTGGTAGGGTTAGGACAGCAGCCCCTCATCCAAGATCCATGCCACCGTTACGTTAGAATTACAGTAGTGGCCAAAATTGTAGAAACCTTTTGGGAAAAGTATATTTTTGAGGTTTGATAGCTAATAACATCACTTTTTTTCGGGGGGAATTTCAAGATAATCATATTCCACTGCTGAAATGGCCGGGGAATAGCCCAGACCTTAACTCAATTGAAAATCTATGGTGCCAACTCAAGAAACTTGTTAGTCAGAAGCGACCCAGCAATAAAACCCAGTTAATAGAAGCAACCATTCAATCTTGGTTTCACATTAGAACAGCTGCAGAACTAAAAGACTTGGTTCACTCCATGGGAAGACATTGTAAGGCGGTAATTCATGCTAAAGGTTACCCAACTAAGTATTAACTCACACGGTGATAATTTTTGTAAATCTCGTTTTTTCTACGTGTTTCACTTTTCTTCTTTATACTGTAACTGCTATTCTAATAGCAAATCCTTCATAAAAGTTATTGCATTACATTCTTGATTAAATTATCTTTCCATTGATATATAATTTTATGGTACTACTCCCAAAAAAAGTGGTGTCATTAGCTAGTTTTAGAAAATGCACTTTTCCCAAATGGTTTCCACAATTTTGGCCGCTACACTCAGGGGACGCGATGGCTCAGTGTCTAAGACGTTGAGTTTATCGATCAAAAGGTTGGCAGTTCAGCGGTTCGAATCCCTAGTGCTGTGTAACGGGGTGAGCTCCCGTTACTTGTCCCAGCTTCTGCCAACCTAGCAGTTCGAAAACACGTAAAAAATGCAAGTAGAAAAACAGGGACCACCTTTGGTGGGAAGGTAACAGCGTTCCGTGCGCCTTTGGCATTTAGTCATGCCGGCCACATGACCACGGAGACGTCTTCAGACAGCGCTGACTCTTTGGCTTTGAAACGGAGATGAGCACCGCCCCCTAGAGTCGGGAATGACTAGCACATATGTGCCAGGGGAACCTTTACCTTTACTCTAGACTCAAGTTCCTGGTTATCCTGGCTCCCATCCACATTCCGACAACTCTTACTTACCCTTCTGATGGTACCACAGGTGGCCACAGAGAAGGTGAAGAGGGCCTTGGTGTCATCAACACCTACTGGTCTACAGTTCTTATCCCGTAGATGAGTTCTCCGAGGATTTAACTCTGGTTTGGTATCCAAGCTCAGCATGGTGGCAATCATAGTTCCATTGGGAAAGCATACTGCAGAGTAACGACAATGAAATCATTAAATTAACATGCCCCCAAAGTTCTTTTTTTTTTTTTTTTTGGTAGATATTTTTTATTATTTTTCAAACATAAGCATAAAATTTAACTTTCAAGAGCAAAAACTCGATCCGGTCATAGATGGTTTACCGTGCTTACATTCCTTTAACAGACTCCATTCACAATTTCCCATTGCATCTTTAAAAGGTAAAAATTCAAAACATAAGAAGAATAAATTTTAACATAGATTCTAACATCCTTATCTATATATATCTATGGTATCAATACAATTTTAACTTCATATTTACTTTAGCTCATTTGTGTCTAAGTATCAATCTTGCTTATATCTGGTTCTTCTCCACATTATCTTTATCATCTCTTTTACCATCAGTTGCAAAATACTTTTTAACAATATTTTAATCTCTTATTCTAATTATTAACCACAATTTTATCACCTCAAATCTTAATTTCAAACTCAATACATCTCCATTTTTCTTACCATTTATACAACAAAATTCTAACTACATTTCTTAGACCCTTGACCCATTCCATCAAATCTTGATATCTTAAATTTTATCATTGCTTTTACACATTTCAAATTACACAGATTCATCCCAAAAATTTTATTTAAACTAATTACTAGCATGTTCTCCTCCATACCTCCTTCTATTGTTTGGCTAATTTCCAGCATGTTTGGCTGATTTCCAGCCTAATCTCCTCCAGAGCGCCCACTATTTTGGCTAATTTCCAACATATTCTCCTCTAACTCTCCTACCATTGTTTAGCTGATTTCCAGCATTTTAACTAGTTTCCAACATATTTCTCCCAAGTCTCAAACTCTTAACTAGTTGGTGCCCATCACCTCTTCTTTTAATTCCCTTGCAATATAATTATCTATTTCATGTCAGTTTCCCAACATACTTTTTCAAATTAGTTCTCAATATGTTTCATAATAATCATTTCCAGCATATTTTAGATTAGATCGCACTTTGTTACTAAGATCTGTGTATCTTCTTGTTTCATTCAATAAAACCATAATTAAACATATTTACCAATCTAACGTTGCTTACAAGTTAAAAGTCAAAACATATTACAGCAAACATTTATTTTTCTTAAAGTTATCTCATATTTGTATATGCTCTTCTTTAATATTTTTAGCCACCTTTATCTCAATCCTCTATTTTGATTACCATCTCTTATTTTCTATTTTTATTACTCCAAAACCCCTCCAGTTTTTCTATGGCCCCCAAAGTTCTATGGCTGACATTTTGCTACCAACAGAAGAATTTCAGGCAGCTTTCAACAAAAGGCCAACTTAACAAACCATGGAAATCTACGTTCATCAACACATACACACTTCACAGAAGAAGGCTCATGATGAAGAAATCCCGCATTGCAGACTGTTGTAAAGCATGCTGAAAAAAAACATCCCAAATTGAGTGAAATATTTTTTTTTATCTTCCATTCTACCATCACCCAAGACAGGACGGAAACCAATAAGCCACAATAGGAATTGCCCAAAACCCTTTCAGAACACAAATCCCTTCATCTCAGTCCAAACTTCAGAGTCACAGAAACCTGGGAGCTCAGATAAACAATAAGACAGAGGCTGACCAGATTAGCTCAGAAAAACACTTAGGATTTGCATTTCCTCTTTTGCCTATAGAGCCAGCTGTGACCTCTACATGACCCCATAGGAATCTGACAAGAGCCAATAGAATATGAAATGACATGTTCTTGCACAGGAACAGGAAGCTCAAATGCAAAGCCCAAAGAAGGCATAAAACCCACCCACTCCCAACTCCATTTTGTCAGCTGCCCAGTACCACATGTGATTCTGCTTCATCAATAAACCATCTTTCCGATCAGCCTCCATGTTGTTTCCGGTGTCTTTCTCCCAGCTTGGAACTGAACCAGATGGATAGTTCTTCCAACAATATTAAAAAAAGGCGGAAATCTTGCAAGACTGTCCAATATCATGAGCTTTGGTACTGCCAAAACTTTCCAGAAAATCACCCAGGAGTCCAGATGGGATTTGGGAAGAGGGAAGATCTATACTGTTCTGGTCTTCTAGCAGCCTGTGGAGCTGGCAACAGAGTCGGACAGTGAGGAGTCTGGGGAGGAACATGGGCCAGTCCTGGAGTCTGGGAAAGGCCCGGACGAGGGCTCTGCGTCACTAGGAATAGGCGCCTCCTGTTCCTCTGCCTCTATGCTGTCTGAGTCTGGAGGCTCCAGAGTCCGCGCATAACTCCCAGATGGCCCTGGCCCCATCTCTGCCTCCGACGCAGAGCCCTCGTCCGAGCCTTCCCCAGACTCCAGGACTGGCCCATGTTCCTCCCCAGCCTTCTCATTGTCCGACTCTGCTGCCAGCTCTGCAGGCTGCTGGCGGACCACAACAGAAATTGGAAGAGCTGGTCTTCCATTTTCTGGCGCGGGGATGCGCGCCGGCCAGCTGATCGGCGCATGCACATGGACGCCAGAAACCTGGAAGACTTGCTGGCCAGCGCCCATGCTCATGCTGGAAACCGGAAGTACTTTATCTGGTGCACACATGCGCCCCAGGCAGCTCCTCTTCCTGGTTGCTGCCCTAACAAGCAAGCGTGCACGTGCGAAGCGCACAAGCGCACACGAAGTGCTCCCTTTTTGGCACTTGCTGCTGCGTGCATGCGCAGGTGCTCCCTTTTCAGCACTCGGTGCCGAAAAGGTTCACCATCACTGACCTAGCAGGATCACTCAATAGATGCTCCAGCTGTTGTGACCCAGGCCCAAGTAGGTAGTAATCGGCGCAAACAGTTCCAAAACAAACAGACTTTATTAGAACAGCTGAGAATTAATTCATTCTCAGCGTAGTCCAAACTAAATTGAAACAAACTCTTCATAACACAAATTCTTCAGTCTAATCACCAACCTTGGTATAATTAGGCAAACTGCTCAAGGCTTCTCTTGGCAAATGTTCAAAAGCAGAAGACACCAGCAAGAGATAAGTGCAGCAAGATTATCAACGTTGTTTTCCGACAAAGAGCCCAAGAGCCGTTGCTGGTCTTTTAAGCTTTATGGGAGGGGCCAATCATCCCTTGGCTCTACTCCTGAGTCGTCCTCTTTGCTTTAGCTGCTCTTGCCTTCTGGAAGCTCTTCTCATACATACTCTAGGAACAGGCTCCTCCTGTTCCTCTGCCTCTCTACTGTCAGCCTCTGGAGGCTCCGAAGTCCGCACATCATTCCCCGATGGCCCTGGCCCCATCTCTGCCTCCGACTCAGAGCCCTCATCCAGCCCTTCCCCACCCTCCAGGACTGGCCCATGTTCTTCCTCAGCCTCATCGCTGTCCGACTCCGCTGCCAGCTCCGCAGGCTGCTGACGAACCACAACACTAGCCACTGTTACGACTAGAACATTTTATTTGGCCACATGTGATTAGGCAGACAAAGCATTTGTGTCCTTCCTTGCATAAGCTCTCAGTGTATGTTATACATCTTGACTCACCCAGTAATTTTCCAGTAGGGAAGACACAAGATCTGGAGAACTCCACCATGGTCAGCAGTGTCTTGTTATCCCGCAGGCCAAAATCTAGCCGGACAGTAACTCCGTTGAGGGAGATATCCTGGGCCATGGAGGAAAGACAGAGGTTGGAGAGGGTTCTATCGAAAGGTAGCACCCACCCCTCTCCTAGAAGAATGAAATATTTTGAGAAATATTTAAAAAGGCAGAATATTACATTTCCCTGGATGAGAACTGGAGAAACGTGCTCTTGGAAAGCAGCCCCCAGTTTCCCTAATAGCCCTCAGCAGATTTCAGCACTTAAAAGAGATAGCTAGTTCTAGTCATAAGCAAATACCCTCACCCAAGATCCAACAAAGGTAGGATTAGCCCTCAGCCACAATAGGAATTGCCCCTTCATTGCATCAGCCCAAAGTTCAACCAAACTTAGCTCAGACAAACTCCTAGGATTTGTACATGGGCCCATGGGAGTCTGACGACAGCCAATAGAATACATGTTCTTGCACAGGAACAGGAAGCTCAAGTGCAAAGCCCAAGAGATGGTATAAATAGTCCCCACTCTCAAGTCCATGGGGTCAGCTGTCCAGAATAACATGTGCTTGGTGGTTCTGCTTCATCAATAAATGGACTCTCTTTCCAATCAGCCTCCAGCCTCCATTTTGTTTCATCAATAAATGGACCCTCTTTCCAATCAGCCTCCAGCCTCCATCTTGTTTCCAGTGCCTTTCTCCCGGCTTGGAACTGGACCTGGATATTTCTTCCAACAGTTCCATGCCAGCATCCCAACACAGCATGCTCACCTTGGAAGGTGCACCATCATCTCTTTGCCCCTTTGACCGGGACAAATGATGAGAAACAGTGAAGGAGGAAGATCTTCACACACTTGTCATTTGTCTCTTTCTCCATCTATAATGAGTTAAATAGCTCTCTGGGTTCAAGACATAGAAGGGACTGTGACTTTCCTTTAAGTTCCCTTCTCATAGAATCAGAGGGTTGGAAGAGATGTTCTCCAAAGTCTTTTAGTCCAACCTCCTGCCCAAAGCAGAGATCTTCAGATCATCCCACCATTTATGGGGCTGTCCAACCTTTGCTTGGAAACCTTTAGTGACAGAACCTCATCATTCCAGGAGGGAGGTTGATCCATTGCTTCAAGATCAGGAAATGTCTCCTTATTTCAGCTTTGGATCTCCCTGATGGTTAGCTTCTTCCCATTTGTCCTGCCCTACAGAAAGATGAATCCATACCCTCTTCCTTCTAATAGCCCTTCAAGTATAGAACGTAGTTCAGATAGAAATAGGACTTTTGGGGGTTATTTATAATGATTATAGACCAGCATGAAGAATGTAGGCTACAATTAGATTAGATACATACATACATACATAGATTAGCTAGATTAGCTAGATAGCTGATAGATAGCTGATAGATAGATGCTAGATAGCTAGATAGCTAGATGGTAGCTAGAAGATAGATAGATAGATAGATAGATAGATAGAGAGAGAGAGAGAGAGAGAGAGAGAGAGAGATGAGATGAGATAGATAGACAGCTAGATAGCTAGGTGGTAGCTAGAAGATAGATAGAGAGAGATAGATAGATAGATAGATAGATAGATAGATAGATAGATAGATAGATGGTAGATAGCTAGATGGTAGCTAGATGATAGATAGAAGATAGATAGATAGATGAGATAGATAGCTAGATAGCTAGATGATAGCTAGAAGATAGATAGAGATGAGATAGATGAGATAGACAGCTAGATAGCTAGGTGGTAGCTAGAAGATAGATAGAGATGAGATAGATAGATAGATAGATAGATAGATAGATAGATAGATAGATAGATAGATAGATAGAAGCTAGAAGATAGATAGATAGATAGATAGATAGATAGATAGATAGATAGTAGCTAGATGATAGCTAGAAGATAGATAGATAGATGAGATAGATAGCTAGATAGCTAGATGATAGCTAGAAGATAGATAGAGATGAGATAGATGAGATAGACAGCTAGATAGCTAGGTGGTAGCTAGAAGATAGATAGAGATGAGATAGATAGATAGATAGATAGATAGATAGATAGATAGATAGATAGTAGCTAGAAGATAGATAGATAGATAGATAGATAGATAGATAGATAGATAGATAGTAGCTAGATGATAGCTAGAAGATAGATAGATAGATGAGATAGATAGCTAGATAGCTAGATGGTAGCTAGAAGATAGATAGCTAGATAGCTAGATGATAGCTAGAAGATAGATAGAGATGAGATAGATGAGATAAATAGCTAGATAGCTAGGTGGTAGCTAGAAGATAGATAGATTAGATAGATAGATAGATAGATAGATAGATAGATAGATAGATAGATAGGAGAGAGAGACTTAAAATCTACAAAAATCTATAGGGAAAGGTAAAACATTAGATAAATGTAAGAAAACATAAACATTAATATGTGGATCACAAAATCTACTACAATATAAAATGTTTTCCTGTCCTCATGAAAGATTAAGAAATAGTGTACGTTTATCTTTTATTTCATATACAGTGAAGGATTGGTTAGCACTAATGGGTGGCTACGGTCATATTCCCCATCCAAGATAAACTAAACTATTATATTAGAAGGATTTTTATACCTTTCTCATTGGATGTTGTGCACCATCAATCAACTAATCCAGGGCCTAGATGTGTGTTGGACTGTCTTCAACCTATAGTTATGTTTAATTGCTCTCTAATATGAGCTACGTAGGCTGATACTCCCAGTCTCTTTCCTTTGCAAACTGTCATCTACAGGACCCGAGGAGACAAACATCTTTGGCTGTAGTCTTCCTTCACAATCTACTTCCTTCACAATCTACTTCCTTCACAATCTATTTGATTAGGGCAGGGGTGGGCAACTGTGGCCCTTTTACAAGGGTCTGTGTTAACAGGGGGACAGAGGTCGACCCCGAGGCCCCTCATATGTGGGGTGCCGCAAGGGTCGGTCCTCTCACCTCTCCTGTTCAACATTTATGTGAAGCCGCTGGGCGAGATCATCCGTGGTTTCGGGGTGGAGTACCATCAGTACACTGATGACACCCAGCTGTACATCTCCACCCCGGATCACCCCAACGATGCCCTTGAAGTGATGTCCCGCTGCCTGGAGGCCATACGGATCTGGATGGGGAGGAACAGGCTCAGGCTCAACCCATCCAAGACCGAGTGGCTGTGGTTTCCGACGTCCCGATATAGCCAGTTGACGCCATCACTGACTATTGGGGGCGAATCATTGGCCCCCACGGAGAGGGCTCGCAACTTGGGCGTCCTCCTGGATTCACGGCTGTCTTTAGAAGAGCACTTGACGGCCGTGACCGGGAGGATTTTTTATCAGGTCCGCCTGATTCGCCAGTTGCGTCCCTTTCTGGATCGGGACTCGTTACGCACGGTCACTCATGCCCTCGTCACCTCCCGCCTGGACTATTGTAATGCTCTCTACATGGGGCTCCCCTTGAGGAGCACCCGGAGGCTCCAACTGGCGCAGAGTGCGGCTGCGCGGGTGGTAATGGGAGCGACATGGCGCTCCCATGTAACACCTCTCCTGCGCGAGCTGCACTGGCTCCTGGTGGTCTTCCGGGTGCGCTTCAAGGTTTTGGTTACCACCTTTAAAGCGCTCCATGGCTTAGGGCCTGGTTATTTACGGGACCGCCTACTACCACCAATAGCCTCCCACCGGCCAGTACGCTCTCATAGAGAGGGACTCCTCCGGGTGCCGTCAGCCAAACAGTGTCGACTGGCGGCCCCTAGGGGGAGAGCCTTCTCTGTGGAGGCACCTACCATCTGGAATGAGCTCCCCCCGGAGATACGGAGGATCCCGGATCTGTGCTCCTTCCGCCGTGCTGTGAAGACCTTTTAATCCATCAAGCGGGCTTGGCCTGATCTCTTCCCTTTTTAAATATGTAAATTTTAATCTGTTTTTAAATTATTGGGGTATTTTAATTTGTCTGGGCCAAAAAGTTTAATTTGATTTTATCGGGTTTTTAAAATTTTGTGTATTTATGTATTTTATTGTTGGCTGTTCACCGCCCTGAGTCCTTCGGGAGTAGGGCGGTATACAAATCAAATAAACTAAACTAAACTAAACTACAACCTGTGGACTGCAACTCCCAGAATTCCTGAGCCAGCTTGGCTGTATTAGGAATTCTGGGAGTTGAAGTCCACAGGTTGTAAAAGGGCCACAGTTGCCCACCCCTGGATTAAGGGACTGGAGGCTAAAACATATGAAGAATGGTTGCAGGAACTGGGTATGTCTAGTTTAATGAAAAGAAGGACTAGGAGAGACATGATAGCAGTCTTCCAATATCTCAAGGGCTGCCACAAAGAAGAGGGAGTCAAGCTGTTCTCCAAAGCACCTGAGGGCAGGACAAGAAGCAACGGGTGGAAACTAATCAAGGAGAGAAACAACTTAGAACTAAGGAGAAATTTCCCGGCAGTTAGAAAAATTAATCAGTGGAGCAACTTGCCTCCAGAAGTTGTGAATGCTCCAACACTGGAAGTTTTTAAGAAGAAGTTGGATAACCATTTGTCTGAAGTGGTGTAGGGTTTCCTTCCTAAGCAGGGGGTTGGACTAGAAGACCTCCAAGATCCCTTCCAAATCTGTTATTCTATATTCTATACTTCTGCTCAAGGCAACTTCCTTTAACCAGAATTCCTGCCCCCAAAAGTGTCTATTTCCAACACACCTCGTACATCAAGCCAGTAGCCAAAAATGGCACCGACAGGTAGAAGTAGCTGCCATCATCTTGAATGGTGTAATTCTGCGATGCTGCGAGTTCGTTTGTCAGCTGAAGGCTACCCACATAAGGAACCCAGTAGCGATCCAGATTCCCACGCGTCATCCTCACACCAATCTGCTCTTCTTCGCAGAAGCCCTCGAACAGTGGAAGAACTGGACAACGGGAGCAATCAGACACAAGAAGGAAAATAGAAATGTTGAAGATTTTATTTGATTTCAGGATTGACTGACTGATTTTTGGCTTTGGTGAACAGGGCAGGGTGGTCTGGTTCCCATAAGATAGGGATCCCCAAATTTGGCAACTGTTCTGTCCCCGTCCCCACACACACACAAACAGCCTTAAAGAAGTACTCGGCACACACAAGGTTCGTTATCAGGAACTTGGCAGCAATACGATAACCGTCTGCCAAGTGCTTTACTACAAGAAGAGGGAGTGTTCCTCCACCAGATAACACCAACGAATACACACAGTTTTCAAAACAGTCCAACTCAAACATGAAACCTTCAGCAGATTCGGCATTGTACAAAGTGACTAGCCAGAAGTTAGGTTTGTCCGTCACAGAGTCTAAATGGCCACCACACTCTCTTATATAGCCTGTGGGGTGTGGTCCAGTGACTCAGCTTAATCCCTGGCATGCCTCCTCATCTGCTGCAAACTTTTATCTCGCCTTCGTTGGCGTGGATCCAGGAATGACTTATCAGCCTCATCGCTGTCATCGGAGACACCTGACTCCTGGTCAATCTCCTCTCCCTCGGCAGACACCTGAGGCATTGCCAGAGAGGAGGGGCCTGGAGAGGGAGGCCTGGCCGGCTCCTCTCCTTCATGTTCGGAGCCTTCTTCCTCCGATAAGATGGGCTCGGGGGTCGGAGCCACAACAGCAACTTTAAGACTTGTGGACTTCAACTCCCAGAATTCCCCAGCCAGCATGGCCCTTCAGGACTTGTGGACTTCAACTCCCAGAATTTCTGAGCCACCATGGCCCCTTCAGGACTTGCGGACTTCAACTCCCAGAATTTCTGAGCCACCATGGCCCCTTCAGGACTTGCAGACTTCAATTCCCAGAATTCCTGGGCCACCATGGCCCCTTCAGGACTTGTGGACTTCAACTCCCAGAATTCCTGGGCTACCATGGCCCCTTCATGATTTGCGGACTTCAATTCTGGGAGTTGAAGTCCACAAGTCTTAAAGTTGCTACGTTTGGAGACACCTGACATAAAATATAGACTAGAATGAATAATGTTTGACGGCCAGAAAATATACAGTGTTTTGAGGCTGAAAGAGAACCACAGTAGGCAATTGGCGTAGCAAGTCAGCACCCACGCACCCTCCTAGAGAATGAAATATTTTGAGGAATATAAAAAGGCAGGATAGGATAGAATATTTCCCCCAAAGGAGAAATGGGAGGAAAAAAATCTTAAGGGAGCCAGAAACCAGCCCCAGTCTCTCTGCCCCAAGCAGAAACTCTTAGAAATGCAGATTTGGTAATCCATTCAGAAAGATTGGGTCAGATGGAAACTCCAGATAAGCAACAAGACAAAGGTTGACAAGATTAGCTCAGAGAAACACATAGGATTTGCATTTCCCCTTGTAGAAAGTTAGCACCCACCCCTCCTAGAAGAATGAAATATTTTAGGAAATATTAAAAAGGCAGAATATTATATTTCCTCCAAAAGAGAAATAGAAATCTTAAGGGAGACAGAACATCAGCTCCCTGCCCCCAGCAGATATTTGGTGCTCATTGAGATAGATTGGGTCAGCCTATCTACAAAACAAAAGACCTTCAGCTCCAGGGTGATGGGATTAAGACAGGACCCTCCAGGACATAATCGGATTAACCCATGTAGCAGCAGGGCTCACTGCATTGCAAAACCTCCTAAGGACATTAGATCAGCCCAGGCTTCAACCAAACTTGTCTCAGACAAACTCCTAGGATTTGCACATGACCCCTATAGCAGCCAGTAGGATACATTTCTTGCACAGGAACAGGAAGCTCAAGGGCAAGGCCCAAGAGAAGGTATACACCACCCTCATGCTTTACTCCATGTGGGCAACTGCAGCAGGACCATGTGCCTTGATGGTTCTGCTTCATTAAACTATCCTTCCAATCAGCCTCCATGTTTCCAGTGTCTTTTTCCCCGCTTGGAACTGAACCAGATGGACATTTCTTCCAACATCCTTTTGCCTATAGAGCCAGCCATGACCCCTACATGACTCCATAGAGATCCAAAAGATACAAAACCCACCCACTCTCAACTCCATTTTGTCAGCTGTCCCAGAACCACACGCTGCTGGTGGTTCTGCTTTATCAATAAACTAACTTTCTTTCCAATCAGCCTCCATTTTATTTTCAGCGTTTTTCTCCCAGCTTGGAACTGGACCTGGATTTTTCTTCCAACATTGGAAGATTGAAATGTATGACTTCATGTCACACAGATGCGGCTAGGACATCATTTTTTCCTGTTTGCAGGTGAAATGGAGTTAATAATATCACCAGTTTACATTGCAAATATTGAAATATCCTTGGTGTCAGAGAAGGAGTTTAAAAAGATAATTCTCTCATTTTCACTGTTTGTTTCTCTCTCCCAACCTCACAGGTTCCATGACATGATAAAGCCAGGAAGATGAAGGAAGAAACGTTAGAACTGGGAAAACCAGAAGTGTTTCTTCTGAAGCTACAGGGTGCCTCCCATTCTTGCCCCAAAAGACCACCAAATTCAAAGGAGAGGAACGATGGTCCTTTTTATGACTTGCAGACCAACTCCCAGAATTCCTGGCCCCCATGGTCCCTTTATGACTTATGGACTTCAACTCCCAGAATTCCTGGGCCACCATGGCCCCTTCAGGACTGTGGGACTTCAACTCCCAGAATTCCTGGGCCACCATGGCCCCTTCAGGACTTGTGGACTTCAAGTCCCAGAATTCCTGGGCCACCATGGCCCCTTCAGGACTTGCGGACTTCAACTCCCAGAATTCCTGAGCCACCATGCCCCTTCAGGACTAGTGGACTTCAAGTCCCAGAATTCCGGGCCTGCATGGCCCCTTCATGACTTGCAGACTTCAACTCCCAGAATTCCTGGCCAGCATGGCCCCTTCATGACTTGCAGACTTCAACTCCCAGAATTCCTGGGCCAGCATGGCCCCTTCATGACTTGCAGACTTCAACTCCCAGAATTCCTGGGCCAGGAATTCTGGGAGTTGAAGTCCACAACTCATAAAAGGACCATCGTTCCCCAACCCTGATGTAATTGGATGTTGATGACTTTTAAGCACTCCAGAATCCGGATCAGTTTGGCCAAGCAGACTCACCTACATCAGCGACTTCACATTCAATGACTCCAGGATGAGTAAATGACTTGCCCTTCGGGAGCAGGAAAAATGTATATTCTAGATGCAAAGTGTATTTCCTGAAGTTGCCATATAGATACTACAGGAGAAAAAAAGTTCTTTAGGCATACAAACTCACTGACATATAGGCAGGGGTGAAATCTACTTACCTTCCCTACCGGTTCGGAAGTGCACGCACCGCATGTGCGCAAACCCTTCTGCGCATACGCAGAGGGTAAAAAACAGGTTACTTCCTGGTTAAAACCAGGAAGTAACAACAACTGGGTGGGTGGGCGGAGCCTCGCACTGCCATCGCTACTGGTTCTCCGAACTACCCGCCGCCATCGCTACCAGTTCGGTCGAACCGGTCCGAACTAGTAGCATTTCACCCCTGCATATAGGGATTCCCCTGCTGAAAGCATTTAAATTATCACTTCCTGCTATTCTCAACTTGTGGCAATCCTCAAAGAAACCCGTCTAACTTTGGCTGAAGGAGTATAGGAAGTCCTCAACTTACAGCCACAATCAAGCCCAACATTTCCATTGCTATGGGGGGGGGACAGTTGTTAAGTGAGTTCTGCCCCATTTTACGACCTTTTTTGCCACTGTTGCTAAGCGAATCACTGCCGTAGTAACACGGTTGTTAAGTGAATCCGGGTTCCCCATTGACTCTGCTCATCAGAAGGTCGCAAAAGTTGATCACTTACCTTAAAAAAAAAAAAAAAAAGAAGTCCAAGGAACATGCTCTTATCTTCCACAAAAGGTGAGCACAACTTAACTTAGTAAGCTTAATGTTATCAATTCATTTGATAACATGAAGTGATGTCCCAGTGCCTGGAGGCTGTGCGGATCTGGATGGGGAGGAACAGGCTCAAGTTCAACCCTTCCAAGACTGAGTGGCTGTGGCTCCCGGCATCCCGATATAGTCAGTTGACTCCATCACTGACTATTGGGGGTGAGTCTTTGGCCCCCACAGAAAGGGGTCGCAATCTGGGAATCCTCCTGGATATGCAGCTGTCCTTGGAGGAACATCTGACGGCTGTAACCAGGGGGACCTTTTGTCAGGTTCGCCTGATTCGCCAGTTGCGGCCCTTTCTTGATCGGGATTCCTTGTGCACAGTCACTCACGCCCTCGTCACCTCTCGCCTTGACTACTGCAACGCTCTCTGCATGGGGCTCCCCTTGAAGAGCACCCAGAGGCTCCAACTGGTCCAGAACGCAGCAGCGCGGGTAGCGACGGGAGCATCATGGCGCTCCCATGTAACACCGCTCCTGCGCGAGCTGCACTGGCTCCCGGTGGTCTTCCGGGTGCGCTTCAAGGTGTTGGTTATCACCTTTAAAGCGCTGCATGGCATAGGGCCTAGCTATCTTCCAGACCGCCTGCTGCTACCGACGACCTCCCATCAACCCGTGCGCTCCCACAGAGAGGGCCTCCTCGGGGTGCCATCAGCCAAACAATGTAGGCTGGTGACCCCCAGGGGGAGGGCCTTCTCTGTGGGGGCACCTACCCTCTGGAATAAGCTGTCCCCTGAGATAAGGAGAATCCAAGACCTCAGTGCCTTCCGCTGTGCCCTTAAAACCCACTTTTTCCAGCAAGCCGGGCTGGCTTAAGAAGAAATTTTTAAATGTTTTAATTGGTTTGTGATTTTTAATTTTGGGGCCAAATTTATATATATATTAATTGTTTTTAATATTTGTATTTCATGTTCTTAATTCTGGCTGTACACCGCCCTGAGTCCTCAGGGAGAAGGGCGGTATATAAATTGGAAATAAAATGAATAAAATAAATAAATAAATTTGAGCAACAGGGACTAGTACCTTGTCACAATCAAAGCTGCAAACATCCGGTACTTCGGCGAAAACTCTCCCCTAACCTTGCCATGCAATTTCCCCCCTTCTTACCTTCTGTTCCACCAGGGGGTTGGAGAAAGGGACCTTGAGAACGAAAACTCGGGTGTGATTGGCGTTGGGGACTTCCTCCAGGGTGCAGCCGTGTCCTTTGATTTCCGGTGGCGATAAGAGTTTGCCGCCTATCGTAATGGCAGTCAGCTCCACATCGGCAAGGAAGTTCCCTATGGTAACATCGAAATAGCCTCTCTCTGGAACCGTGTCTAAGGAGAAACAGAAATTTCAGAACCGTGGTGGCACAGTGGTTAAAACGCAGTACTGTGGGCAATGTCTGTTGTGGTTTGCCAGCAGCCTGCGGAGCTGGCAGCGAAGTCGGACAGCGATGAGGCTGAGGAAAAACATGGGCCAGTCCTGGAGGCTGGGGAAGGCCCAGATGAGGGCTCTGCATCGGAGGCAGAGAGGGGGCCAAGGCCATCGGGGAATGATATGCGGACTTCGGAGCCTCCAGAGGCTGACAGTAGAGAGGCAGAGGAACAGAGGAGCCTGTTCCTAGAGTATGTATGAGAAGAGCTGCCAGAAGGCAAGAGCAGCTAAAGCAAAGAGGACGACTCAGGAGTAGAGCCAAGGGATGATTGGCCCCTCCCATAAAGCTTAAAAGACCAGCAACGGTTCTTGGGCTCTTTGTCGGAAAACAACGTTGATAGTCTTGCTGCACTTATCTCTTGCTGGTGTCTTCTGCTTTTGAACTTTTGCCAAGAGAAGCCTTTGGCAGTTTGCTTAATTATACCAAGGTTGGTGATTAGACTGAAGAATTTGCCTAATTATACCAAGGTTGGTGATTAGACTGAAGAATTTGTCTAATTCTAATTTATGAAGAGTTCGTTTTAATTTAGTTTGGACTACGCTGAGAATGAGTTAATTCTCAGCTGTTCTAATAAAACCTGTTTGTTGTGGAACTGTTTGCGTCGATTACTACCTACTTGGCCCTGGATCACAACAACGGCTGCCGGCTGCCGGCTGCCAGGAGTTCGGCAGTTCGAATCTCACCAGGCTCAAGGTTGACTCAGCCTTCCGTCCTTCCGAGGTGGGTAAAATGAGGGTCCAGATTCTTGGGGGCAATATGCTGACTCTGTAAACCGCTTAGAGAGGGCTGTAAAAGCACTGTGAAGCGGTATATAAGTTTAAGTGCTGTTACTATTTCAACTGGAGGAATCTAAGCCTAGGACAATTTTCCTGATGTAGTTGGGGTAACAGTATTCTGAAAGATCTCCTTCTATGTCCGCAGAGAAATGTAAATACAGGTAATCCTGTATTTGTAAATACAGGTAATCCTCGACTTATGACCACAATTGAGTCCAAGATTTCCATTGCTGAGTGTTGTGGCCTGTCGGCCGACGGCCCCTCCAGCAGCCGGATCAGAAGAGGAGGAGGCGTGGGAGTGATAGTCAGGGCCAGCATCAAGGCAACCTGAAAGCTCCGAGGGGGAAGAGGGAATGGAGCTGTCAGAGAGAGAGACAGAGCGGGAGCCTGGGCCGTCCGTCACCCCTCAGATGGAGAGTCAACATCCCTCAGGTCTGGAGGTGGCTGATGAGGAAGAGGAGGAACAGCTGGGTCCAGTGCCTGACGTGCGGATGCACAGAAGGCAGAGGAGAGGAGAGGAGAGCAGTGGAAATCTGTGGGCCGGTCCTTGGGGCGGAAGAGGCATCACTGCTAGCAAAGTCCCACCCTAGCTCTGGGGATAAAAGGCAGGGGGCGGAGATGAATAGGTGTGGCAGACAACAGACTTGTTATCCTGAGGTGAAAGAGAAACTACAGAGGGTTTGCCGTGTTTGGGGAGCTGGGTGAGAACACTCGTGCTCCACCAGGTGTCTTCCAAAGCCTGCTCGCCTCACCTAGGAAAAGCCGGGTGTGATACAAAAACTTACTATCGGTGAGCAGCGGTATCTGGGGGGCAAAGGGGGTGCGGATAGACTTGAAGATCCGGTGACGGGTCCAGTCACTTTCATCTCCTCGCCATCTGCGGTCCAGAAGGAGTTTGATGGTATATGTGGTGCCGTAACGATTGTCGATCACGTCACTCTGGAAAGAAACAGACCGACCTCATCCATTCTGTGCCTCTTGTCGGAAAGCCCGTGGAGATTCTCGGCCATCCAGATCATGGTTGTCCCCAAGGTGCTTTTATTAAAGGCAGCTGGACTTGAAGCTCCAAGATGTTTGCTCCTTCCTTCCTTCCTTCCTCATCCCTTCCCCCTCCCTCCTTTCCTTTCCTTTCCTTCCTTTCCCTTCCCTTTTCCCTTTCCTTTCTTCCTTTGTCTCTCCCTCCCTTCCTTCCCTCCCTCCCTTTCTTTCCCTTCTTCTTCTCTTCCTTCCTCCCTCCCTGTTTCTCTCTCTCCCTCCCTCCCTCCCTTCTTTCCCTCCTCTCCCCTTTCCTTCATTTTCCCTTCTTTCCCTTACCTTCTTCCTCCTTCCTTCTCTTTCCTTCTTTCCTTCCTTTGTCCCTGTCTTCCTTCCTTCCCTTCCCTCCCTCCCTTTCTTTCCCTTCCCTTCTCTTTTTTCCCTTCTTCTTCCCTTCCTTCCTCCCTCCCTCCCTGTCTCTCTCCCTCCCTCCTTTCTTTCCCTCCTCCCCTTTCCTCCATTTTCCCTTTTCTCTTCCCTTCTTCCTTCCTCCCTTCCTCCCTCCGTTTCTTCCTCCTTCCTTCCCCTTCCTTCCTTCCTCCCTCCTCTCCCCTTTCCTTCATTTTCCATTCTTTCCCTTCCCTTCTTCCTCATTCCTTCTCTTTCCTTCCTTCCTTCCTTTGTCCCTGTCTTCCTCCGTCCCTCCCTCCCTTTCTCTCTCCCTCCCTCCCTTCTTTCCCTCCCCTCCCCTTTCCTTCATTTTCCCTTCTTTCCCTTCCCTTCTTCCTTCCTTCCTCCCTACCTCCCTCCGTTTCTTCCTCCTTCATTCCTTCCTCCTTCCTTCTCTCCCTCCCTCCCTCCGGTCCTAAGCTTCTTGGATGAGAAGTGAAACGGCATCCAGAGGAAACAAAGTCCAGTTGCCTTTTGAAAAAGCATCTTTGGGACATGTTGTCCGAAAGGGTGACGTCCATCCCCAGGGAAAGGACCTCCGCGCCCAGCACTGACCTCTGTGATTCCTCCCAGAGCTCCAATGGGGACTGTGATGCTGATGAAGTGCATGTCGGTCAGGAAGCTGTAGCCATTCCGCACAATGGTGCTCCTATCAATTCTGCGCCCATCCACGCCCATCTCGATGGTCTCATCTTCAAACTGAAGGGGGAAGGCCACCAGCGCCGGCATGATCCGTGGCGAAGTCCAGCGCAAAGCGGTGGCGGTGAAAGTGGGAGGGTCTGCAGAAGGAAGCTGAATGTATGTGGGGTCGATAAGAAGACGATCGATCCTTTTGGGGGGGGGACGACACACCTGTAAAAGAGCCTTGGTGGCGCAGCAGACTAAAGTGCTGTTAAGTAGCACCAGCTGCTTGCAATTACTGCAAGTTCAAATCTCACCAGGCTCAAGGTTGACTCAGCCTTCCATCCTTCCGAGGTACGTAAAATGAGGACCCGGATTGTTGGGGGCAATAAGCTGACTTTGTATAAAAAAAAGAACACCGCTTAGGGAGGGCCGAAAGCCCTATTAAGCAGTTATATACAAAAGTATGAAGGCTATTACTTAACGCATTGTAAGCCGCCCTGAGTCTCCGGAGAAGGGCGGCATATAAATCGAACCAATAAAATAATAAATAAATAAATAATTTGGGGTAGGTGTTACAGGTGGTCTCAATAAAACCCAGCCAGGAAGGCCTCGGATTAGAAAGCGGGGTGGATCCTTTGCGTGGTGTTTTGGTTTGTCAGTATTTTGGTTGCTTGTTTCTCTTTTTAGAGCAGTGTTTCCCAAACTTGACCCTTTGAAGATAATAATAATAATAATAATAATAATAATAATAATAATAATAATAATAATAATAATAATTTTGGGGGGGACGACACACCTGTAAAAGAGCCTTGGTGGCGCAGCAGACTAAAGTGCTGTTAAGTAGCACCAGCTGCTTGCAATTACTGCAAGTTCAAATCTCACCAGGCTCAAGGTTGACTCAGCCTTCCATCCTTCCGAGGTACGTAAAATGAGGACCCGGTTTGTGGGGGCAATAAGCTGACTTTGTATAAAAAAGAATACCGCTTAGTGGGGCCGAAAGCCCTATTAAGCAGTTATATACAAAAGTATGAAGGCTATTACTTAACGCATTGTAAGCCGCCCTGAGTCTCCGGAGAAGGGCGGCATATAAATCGAACCAATAAAATAATAAATAAATAAATAATTTGGGGTAGGTGTTACAGGTGGTCTCAATAAAACCCAGCCAGGAAGGCCTCGGATTAGAAAGCGGGGTGGATCCTTTGCGTGGTGTTTTGGTTTGTCAGTATTTTGGTTGCTTGTTTCTCTTTTTAGAGCAGTGTTTCCCAAACTTGACCCTTTGAAGATAATAATAATAATAATAATAATATAATAATAATAATAATAATAATAATAATAATAATAATAATTTATTTCTATATAAAGACTCAACAGCAAAAACACAGACAAAACAATGATATAAAATTTAAAATAATTAAATAAGTGGCTCAAATTTAAAACCCCAATAAATTTAAATACCCCAATTTAAAACTATTGTGTTGATAGTCCGGCCTGGCGGAACAACAGGGTCTTCAATGCGCAGCGAAACACCCGGAGGTCGGAAATCTTTCGTATTTCGGGGGGCAGTTCATTCCACAGGGCTGGGGCTCCCACAGAGAAGGCCCTCCCCCTGGGCGTCGCCAGCCGACATAACTTGGCTGATGGCACCCTGAGGCGACCCTCTCTGTGGGAACGAACTGGTCGGTGGGAGGCTATTGGTGGCAGGAGACGGTCTCGGAGATACCCGGGTCCTATGCCATGGAGCGCTTTAAAGGTGGTAACCAACACCTTGAATCGCACCCGGAAGACCACCGGGAGCCAGTGCAGCTCGCGCAGGAGGGGTATGTATGGACTTCAACTCCCAGAATTCCTCAACCAGGCATACTGGTTGGGGAATTCTGGGAATTGAAGTCCATGCATCTTAAAATAGCCAAGTTTGGGAAACACTGTTTTAGAGTATCTATATCACGGGTGTCAAACTCAAGGCCCGTGGACCAAATCCGGCCAATGGGGTGCTTAAATCTAGCCTGCAGGGCCGGCTTGGGAATATCAAAGAACTGGCCCACGATGCCTCGGCCGCTGAGAATGGGCCAAAAACAAACGAAAAATAGGCCGCGTGGCCCGTTTTTGGCCTCCAGCAGCACTCTTCAAGCCGAAAACGGGCTGCGCGGTGTGGCCTCAGGAGGCCTGTTTTCGGCCCATTTTCAGCCAGAAGAATGCTGCAGGCAGCCATGGAGGGCGAAAATGAGGTGTGGCATTGCAGCCCCCCCCACCGTACCCCATTTTGGTTGGTAAAGTGCTGCAGGAGGCATCGATCCTGTTCTCTACCACCACTCTCCTCCACCGCCAGCCCGCGGCAGAGAATTGCAATGTTGATCCGGTCCTCAAAGAAATCCAGTTTGACACCCCTGATATATCACTTTGTTTTTATATTCTGTTAGCTTGTAAGTCATGACAGATGGATGGATGGATGGATGGATGGATGGATGGATGGATGGAAGGAAGGAAAGAAGGAAGGGAAGGAGGGAGGGTGTCAGGTTTTCAGGCTGTCTTCAAATAAATTGCATCGCAAATAAAGTCTTTTATAAAACAAACTTCCATTTTATTAAGCACAGCACTTTTTACACGGACTCGTTGCAGCCGACCCAAAACCCCTCCTCTTCCTTCCCCCACTCCTCTGCATTCATTGGCCATCTTCCCAATCATTCACCCCTAATCTACTGCTCCAATTCAAAGAATTTCTCCCCTCCCATCCATCTCCTAGGGGACATTATCTCCAGAGGAAATAAGTAGGTGAAAGGCAACCGTCCCGTTGGAGACGCCTGAGTTCTCCTTCTTATGTCAGCACTAGGATAAATACATCTTGACGTGCTGACAGAGGGAGAGAAAAAAAGGAAAAGTTGGAAGAAGGGTTGAAAAGAGAGAGGAAGGGAAGGGAAAGAAAGAAAGGGAGGGAGGGGGGGAAAAAGAGGGAGATGGGAAGAAATAGGAAAGAAGGAAAAGCAGGAGGAAGGTAGGAAAGAAAGACGGAAGGAAGGGTGGAAAGAGGGATGGAGTGAAGGAAGGAAAGAGAGGGAGGGAGATAGGAAGGAAAAGGAAGGAAGGAAGGAGGGAGGGAAGGAGGAAGGGAGGGAGGGAGGGAAAGAGGTGATGGGTGATGGGAAGAAATAGGAAGGAAGGAGAAGAGCCTAATGCTGGGAAAGATTGAGAGCAAAGGAAGAAGAGGACGACAGAGAATGAGATGGCTGGATGAGGTCACCGAAGCAGCTGGTGTGAGCTTAAATGGACTCCAGAGGATGGTAGAGGACAGGAAGGCCTGGAGGAACGTTGTCCATGGGGTCGCGATGGGTCGGACATGACTTCGCGACTAACAACAACAACAAAAGGAAGGAAGGAAGGAGGAAGGGAGGGAGGGAGGGAGGAAAAGCAGGAGGAAGGGAGGAAAGAAAGAAGGAAGGTAGGATGGATGGATGGAAAGACAGAGGGATGGTGGGAGGGAAGGAGATAGAAGAAAAAGGAAGGAAGGAAAGAAGGAAGGAAGGAAGGAGAGAAAGAGATAGGGAGGGATGAGAGAGGATGGAAGAAAGAGTAGAACAAGGAAGGAAAAGAGTAAGGGAAGGAAGGAAGGCTCAATCACAATGCACAATTTAAGGATGAAAGCACCATATTCTCATCTATTAACTACCATATCAAGTAAACAAAGAAAGCAAGTGACTCACTGATAGGACAAGCCACAACAGTATCTACTATTAGGATCATCCAGGCCTGTTTATAGAAGATCGTGGCTCGGGCCACTTCCACTTCCAAGCCCTGAACCTACAGTGGAAGGAACAGCCAAGAGGCAGAGTTTATCCCGGTGCTAACACCTCGCAACTCATCAGATGAACATTTTATACCTTGGCTGAGGCTTTTGCCCCGTTTTACGACCTTTTCTTTCCACGGTTGTTACGAGAATCACTGCAGTGTTAGTCACACTGTCGGCTTGGTGACTCGGCTTCCCCATTGACTTTTGCTCATCAGAAGGTCACATGCAACCGTCATGGATATATGCCAGTTGCCAAGCCTCCAAATGTTCATCGCGTGATCACGGGGAATGCCATAAGTGTGAAAAATGGCCATAAGTCCCTTTTTTCAGTGACATTATACCTTCGATGGGGTGGGCTGTTGGGGGTTCGTAGGGGTTCGGGAGAACCTCTAGCTAAGATTCTGTGCAGTTTGGAGAATCCCCAAATCCCACTCCTGGCTGGCCCCACCCACCCCGCCCCTCCCAGGAGTCCCCTCGCGGCCCGTATTGGATGCAGGTAAGTGCAGGGCACGTGCGGGGACTTGGGGAGGCAAAAAACGGGCCTACTGGAAGTTCGGATAGGCCTCCGGAGCCTGGGGAGGCCGTTTTCACTCTCCCGGAGGCTTGAGGAAAGCCTCCGGAGCCCGGGGAGGGCAAAAACGCCCTGCCCCCCTGCCATGATGCAGTACGCCGACTAGGCTATGCCCACCATGGCCACGCCCACCAAGGGCAGCGAACTTGTTAAAATTTTTGAAGCCCACCCCTGACCTTCAAAGGCCACTAAACAAATGGTTGTAATGCAAGTACTATCTGGACACGACAATCTGTGTGTCACTTCATCGCTGGAAGCCTAACCTATGGTCAACTGAAACATGGTTTGATCACAAAATACCTCGAACCATAAACTAACCATGTCACATTCATACAGCAAGATGCGACCAGCCACCTGTTAACGTTATTTGTTGTGTGAACCAAACCAGGGGTGGGCTGCTGGGGGTTTGCGGGGGTTTGGGATAACCTCTAACTAAGATTCTGTGAAGTTTGGAGAACCCCAAAATCCCAATCCTGGCTGGCCCCACCCGCCCCGCTCCACTCCTCCCAGGAGTCCCCAAGCGGCCCGTTTTGGATGCAGGTAAGTGCAGGGTGCGCACGGAGGTTCAGGGAAGGTGAAAAACGGGCCTACCGGAAGTTCGGGGCCTCCGGAGGGCCTCCGGAGCTTGGGGAGGCCATTTTCACCCTCCTGGAAGCTTGAGGAAAGCCTCCGGAGCCCGGAGAGGACAACCCCCCGCCTCTGCTGTGGTGGAGGAGGCCGACTAGGCCACGTCCACCATGGCCACACCCACCCAGCAACCGGGGAGAGAACCCCTTGCTAATTTTTTTTTTAAAAATAATCTTTATTTACATTTCAGTTAAAAAGAAAAGACAACACAACATAAAGTGACGCACAAAAAACAATACAACAATAAACATATGTACTTCCATATAGTACCTTAATGAACAAATATTCAGTACTATAACTCTAAATTATATTCCGGAGAAGACAGAACAGCTTATATACCTTAATGCATCAATTAGGTCTATCCGACCTCACTTATCCTATATAATATAAATTTCTCATTAAATACCATTCCTTATCTAATGTGGGTTATAGTTTCCTCTTTTCTAACCATTTATAGAATTTGTCCCAAGCTAAACCTACTTGTGTTTGCTCTCTATCCTTTAATTTTTTAGTTAGCATATCTGCTTCCGCACATTCTAATTTTTTTTTTATAATAGCCTCCTCTGTTGGGATATTTTGATTTTTCCAGAGTTGAGCATACGTCAGTCTCGCCGCTGTAATGAGATGTAGTGCCAAATACCACAAGTCCCTTTTTATATTTTCCGGCTTAACACCAAGCAGGCATGTCTCTGGTCGCCAATCGATTTTTAACATTAAGATCTCATTGAGCCATTTTTTTATTTCCCCCCAAAATATCACTGCTTTCGGACACGTCCATCACTGGTGGCAATAGGTGCCACGTTCCCATCCGCATTTCCAACAATCCGCCGACTGCCCAGAGAACATTTTAGCTACTCTATCGGGAGGCAGGTGCCACCTGTATATCATTTTATAGATATTTTCTTTATAGGCCGTGGATACTACTAATTTCATATTATCCCACCAAATCTCTTGCCATTTATCTAAGTGTATTGGATACCCAAAATTTTTCCCCCAAGCGATCATGGAATCTTTGACTATTTCCTCACCTATCTCTATTTTCATGAGCAGTTTATAAGTTTTTGAAATCATGCTTTTTTCTTGGCGCATCAAGATTTTATCTAGCTCTTGTAGGTCGCTCTTGCTAAATTTTTTGAGGCCCACCCATGAACCAAACCAGAGTCAGTTTTGCAATCTCTCAATGTTCAGCTTCTATCTCAGCCACCTCTCTGCCACCAGACCTGAAGTTCTGAACCTTAGCAAAGCTTGGACCTTCTCTTACCGTAGCCACTTCGGTCTGCTGGGTGCCGTAAGGGGTGCGGAAGAGAACACGGGTGGCTGTAGTATTGAAGCCGTAGCCCATGTCGTAAGCTTGGGTAGCCATCATGTCCTGAACGGAACCATTTTGGAAATGGAAAACTACTTGCCAGACTTGGTTCATAGCCCCTTGGGCCTGCAAGGACAAACACAGGTGAGAGTGAGGGAAGAAAAAAAAGGAGACGTTCAGAGACCCAGGGTCCTGCTTGAGGCTTAAAAAGTGCTCATGAAGAAAATGTGGCTCTAGATGCTTTGAGGAAGGTGCAATATTTGCAGAATTGTGTTGCATGCTGTGTTCATCAAATGCAACGCTTATTCTGTTGAAATAAGGGAGAATTAATGGCGTGCTACATATTATTCTACGACCGTGATGGCGAACCTATGGCACGTGTGCCACAGGTGGCCCGCGGAGCCATATCTGTGGGCACGCAAGCGTTGCCCTAACTCAGCTCCAGCGTGCATGTGTGGGTCGGCCAGCTGATTTTCAGGCCTTCCGGGCCCACCAGAAGTTGGGAAGTGGGCCGTTTCCGGCCTCCGGAGGGCATCCGGGGTGTGTGTGTGTAAGGCTGTTTTTGCCCTCCCCAGGCTCCAAGAAAGCCTCTGGAGCGTGCGGAGAGCGAAAAACGGGCCTACCGGGCTCACCTTTTTGCTGACATGTTGCACATGCATGTGGGGGGGGGGCATTGAATTATGGGTGTGTGCACAACCCCTCCAAGCTCCCCCCACTTTTGGCACCCGACGGCAAAAAGGTTAGCCATCGCTGTTCTAGGACAAGGGTTGGCAAACTTAAAGAGTCATTTAGACTCATTTCCCACAGAAAAGAAAACACCGGGAGTCACAAAACCTTTCCTGTGCCTGACTATTTCCTGAGCGGCCACAGAATTAGCATATGTAGTTGAATTAAACGTTCTGTTTTCTTCTGAAACTTTTATTTTCTTGGATTTGTTGGCCTACCAGCGATCAAAAAGCACAATAAATCATGTGCAGGAGGATATCACACATTGGTGGTGGTGATGCATATTTTGACCGACAGGGAGCCGCAGCAGAGGGATGAAAAAGCCACATGCAGCTCCAGACCTCTGTTCTAGGAGATACAAGCTTTTATGAAGTTTCCGAAGAGCCGCGGTGGCGCAGTGGTTAGAGTGTAGTCCTGCAGGCTACTTCTGCTGACTGCCGGCTGCCTGCAATTTGGCAAATCGACTCTCACCAGGCTCAAGCTTGACTCAGCCTTCCATCCTTCTGAGGTCGGTAAAATGAGGACCCAGATTGTTGGGGGAAAATATCCTGACTCTGTAAACGGCTTAGAGAGTCCTGTAAAGCACTGTGAAGCAGTATATAAGTCTAAGTGCTATTGCTATTCCTGCCAGGAAGTTCAGGGATCAGTGAAGCCACCAATATACCGGTAGATGCTGTGGAGCCTGAGACATCTGGAGACAGATGTTGTGAAGCTAAGGCAGCTGCCAGAACCAAAGATGTCTCCTTCTCACTCGTCCACAGCTATTTCTAACTCCAAAGCCAGAATCCTGACACAAGATAACTGTAGTGGTATCTTTCCAGGCAAAGGAAAAATGAGACCTTCTACAAAATCAAGTATCCTAAAGAAGCATAAACGCCATCTTCCCAAATTTCCCACCCACCCCATTGCTGAAAATTCTGGAAGTTGAAGTCCCCACACCTGGAGGATCTTGGTGTCTACTTCAGTGTTCCTCAACTTTGAAAACCTGGAGGTGTGTGGACTTCAATTCCCAGAATTCTCCAGCTAGCATCAATTACACCAAAGAAGAGTGTTGTGGTCCTCCAGCAGCCTGCAGAGCTGGGAGCAGAATCGGACAGTGAGGAGGCTGGGGAGGAACATGGGCCAGTCCTGAAGTCTGGGGAAGGCTCGGACGAGGGCTCTGCATTGGAGGCAGAGATGGGGCCAGGATCATCTGGGAGTGATGCGCGGACTCTGGAGCCTCCAGAGTTGGACATCAGAGAAGCAGAGGAACCTGTTCCTAGTGTGCGCATGCGCAGAGCTGCCAGAAGGCATGAACAGTTAAAACAAAAGGGACGACTCGGGAGTAAGGCCTGGAGATGATTGGCCCTCCCATAAGGCTTAAAAGGGGAGCAAAGGCATGTGGGCCCTTTGCAGGAAAGCAACGTTGTTAATTCTGTTCCCAGTCGGCATCTCTGTTTGATTCTGGACTCCGTGTGGCTATGCCAAATAGGTCTTTGGCAGAGTGTCAAGGGAGATAAAGGTTGATGATTATCCCGAAGGACTTCTTCCGAAGGACTTTTTGCAACTAATTGGGACTCAGCTGTAAATGAACGTAATTCCCGGTTGTTGCAATAAAAGAGGTTTTTGGGACTACTTGTGTGTTTTAATGACTCAGGAAGCCTAGGTCACAACAAAAAGTACCAAATTTCCCCTTTCTATTACCCTGTCAGCTGCCGTCTTATACTTGCTTGTGCTTTGCTGCTATGCAGTGACAGACTGCCATGAACTGTGGGGAGGGGGAACGGAGGGGGGAGATGCGTGGGGAAATGAAAGTAAGTGCCTGTGCCTTCTCGAGATGCTGCCTCAAGGTCACCCAGCTGGAAGGAGGAGGGAGCTGCATACTAAACTGCACTTGGACTGACCTTTATGAAAACATCTTGCTGAACTTTGTTGGTTACACTGGGCAGTAAGAGACATTTAAGGAAGGGAAAAAGTAGAACTTGGGGATTTTGGTTCGCGATTCTCAGTTCTGGCCTCGCAATACTGCAATACACTTAGCTTCTAATAAAACTATAGCTTTCTCAACAAATGGAGCCAAGGGTTGTTTCTAATTAGAGGTTTAAATTGTGGCAGGTCTGACATACCCCAATTTTAATCCAACTCTACACCCCCAGCATCCTTACCACAGGCCACACTGCCATCCAATCATCGTTCAAGGCATCATTCGCTATTCCTGGGACGGCTCGCCGGACAGAAACCTGGAATGAAAGCAACATTAGCAGCTGAATACCCATCTCTCCATCTCTCTCAGAATACAGAATAACACAGTTGGAAGGGAGCTTGGAGATCTTCTAGTCTGACCCCTGAACCAGGAGACCCTAGGCCCATGATGACGAACCTATGGCACGCATGCCACAGGTGGCACAAGGAGCTATGTCGCCTGGCACGCCAGCTCAGCTCCAGCTGATTTTTTGGCCTTCTGGGCCAACCAGAAGTTGGGAAACACACTGTTTCCTGCCGCCAGAAGGCCTGGGGGAGGGGGGAAGGCCCATTTTTCTTTCTCACCTGGCTCCAAATCCTCTATGCATCTGGGGAGGGTGAAAACAGCCTTCCCCACCACCTCGGAGGCCCTCCGGAGGCCTCTCTAGGAGTCTCTGGAGGCTGGGGACAGCAAAAAACATCACTTCCTGTCCAACCGGAAGTTGGGAAATGGGTCATTTCATGCCTCTGGAGAGCCTCCAAGGGGATGGGGAAGGCTGTTTTCGCCCTCCCCAGATGCATAGAGAGGATCTGGAGCCAGGTGAGAAAGAAAACCGGGCCTACCAGGCCATTACGTGCCAGGAGAGGGAGGGTTGTGTGCGTATGCGCAGGGCGCATAGAATTATGGGTGTGGGCACAAGTGTGCATGAACCTCCACCGCCCCCCCCCCTTCCTGGCACATGATGGCAAAAAGGTTAGCCATCCCTGCCCTAGGCCATTCCAGACAAATGGCTGTCCTATCGCTTCTTAAAAACCTCCAGTGATGGAGCCCCCACAACTCCTGGAGGCACGCTTTTCCAGTGGTTAATTGTTCCCACTTTCAGGAAATTTCTCCTAGTTCTAGGTTGCTTCTCTGCTTGATTAGTTTCTGTCCTGCCTTCAGGTGCTTTAAAGACTAGCTTGACTCTCTCTTCTTTGTGGCAGCCCCAGATATTGTTGTGGCCCGCCAGCAGCCTGCGCGGATTGTTGCTGATCCCGACGACGAGAAGGCTGGTGTGGTGCTGCGCCCGCAGCCTGTGCAGCTGGCACTTGAGTCAGACAGCGAAGAGGCTGAAGATGTGGTGCCAGAGGCAGGGATTCAGTCAGGGCCTTCAGAACCCCCAGAGGCTCCTTTAAGTGAAGAGGATGAAGAGGAGGAGCCTCTTCTCAATGCACAGGCGCGCAAAGCTGCCAAAAGGCAGGAGTGGCTCCTCAGGAGGAGGTCTCCTCGAGAGTAAGGCTTGGGGCTAATTGGCCACTTCCTTAGCCTATTTAAGGAGGAACCTCGACTGAAGCAATTTTTAGGGAACAACTTTAGTTCATTCTATTTCACATCTGGATTCTCTGCAAATTGCTTCTGGGCTTTCTGCCAACCTTAGTAAGATTGTGATTACTTTATCATTGGTTTCTTGTAGGTTGTTAAGAAAGTTTATTAACAGCCTTTGTTTTGAAAAAGACTGAGTTATTTTAGTAAATTAAGTTTTGTACAAACTTTGTGTGTGCTATGTTCTTTGGGATCCATAGCTGGGGCAGAACAATAATGTTAAAATATTCATATTTAGTTGCTGGAACAGGGGGTTATACGTTATAGTTGATTGGTTGGAGAGTGATGGCTCCCGCGTGAGACAATCTGTGCTGAGACTGGTTGCTGTGGAGGGGGCATTTCCCTCCCCCCCCCGTCTTTTTCTTCGGCGGTCTCTGTATGTTGTTCTGAAATTGACTTCATGGTGTAGTGATGTGCCTGACTATCTTGTTTGCTGTACATAGAGACTCCAAATATATTTATTCATGTCAAACAGGGGTGAAATCCAGCAGGTTCTGACAGGTTCTGGAGAACCGGTAGCGGAAATTTTGAGCAGTTCGGAAAACTGGCAAATACCACCTCTGGCTGGCCCCAGTGGGGTGGGAATGGAGATTTTGCAGTATCCTTCCCCCTGGAGTGGGGAGGGAATGGGGATTTTGCAGTATCCTTCCCCTGCCACGCCCACCAAGCCACTCCCACCACCACCACACCATGCCCACCAAGCCACGCCCGCAGAACCGGTAGTAAAAGAAATCGGATTTCACCACTGATGTCAAATTACCAGTTCCGGTCAGCTTTTTTGACGCCATTCGGACACCTGCTGCGCAGTTCCCTGATAAATAAATTGATAAATTGCATTTTGATTTTACTCACCTCCATGTAATTTTCCTCACAAACAATCTCACGAGGGCTCCATGGGGCATCGAGGGGACAATTCATGGACACTTCATAAGCAGCAGTTACGTTATCAAGGCTGGTAATTTCCACCTGGAGCCGGATGCTGAAATCCTTGTCAAACTGAAGAAGGGGATTTAAAAAGTATTTGCTGTCACTAAAAAGTCTCAGTTGTGTTGAAGAATCCAACTTTGGAAGCAACCTTAGGGCTGAATGTCTGGATCTATCACTCTTTCCGACTTAGCACACCCAGCTGCCATTAGCTTGAGAACATTGGGAAAAATGAACTCTGGGTTCCTTGGTGCTTTCTGAGCTTGGTGGTTGTTGCACTGATGATGTTACCTAATTTGGTAATGAAACGTCTGCAAGACGACAACCAAGCTCAAAAAGGATCTCATAGTTTAACACCCCGAGCTACAAATATTCTCTTCTAAAAGGAATTTTCCCGTTAGGTCCAAGTTCTAATACTTGGATAAGGGACAAGAAAAATTCAAAAGCTTAAGGATGGATGGGGAATGAATGACGCTGGCCAAGATGTATCCAAATTCAAATCCAAAATGTTGGAAATGTAAACAGGGACAAGGTACCTTCTTTCACACATGGTGGTCATGCCCCGAAGCGAAAAGATATTGGACGAAGATACAGGAATTGCTGCAGGATTTACTTTACTTTACTTTTATTATATTTATATACCGCCCTTCTCCCGAAGGACTCAGGGCGGTGAACAGCCATGGTAAAAACAGTATGCAAGACAAAAAATTTAAAAACTTATTAAAATAATTCAATCACTGGCCAAATTTAAAACACTCAGCTAAAACCATTATTTAAAACCCCTATCAAAACCCAATTAAAATCCTTTATCCCGTCAGACCGGCTTGCTGGAATAATAGGGTCTTCAGAGCACGACGGAAGGTGCGGAGGTCGGGGATCCTTCGTATGTCCGGGGGCAATTCATTCCATAGGGCCGGGGCCCCCACAGAGAAGGCTCTCCCCCTGGGGGTCGCCAGCCTACATTGTTTGGCCGAGGGCACCCTGAGGACGCCCTCTCTCTGGGAGCGTACTGGTCAGTGGGAGGCAATCGGTGGCAGAATGCGGTCCTGTAGATAACCAGGTCCTAAGCCATGGAGCGCTTTAAAGGTGATAACCAACACCTTGAAATGCACCCGGAAGACCACCGGGAGCCAGTGCAGCTCGCGCAAGAGGGGTGTTACATGGGAACGATGAGTCGCCCCCATTATTACTCACGCGGCCGCATTCTGGACCAGTTGGAGCCTCCGGGTGCTCCTCAAGGGGATCCCCATGTAGAGAGCATTACAATAGTCCAGACGGGAAGTGATGAGGGCGTGGGTGACTGTGCGCACGGCGTCCCAATCCAGAAATGGACGCAACTGGGAGATCAGGCGAACCTGATAAAAAGCTCCCCTGGCCACAGATTTAAGTGTCAAATAGAATTTAAACCGGAATTGTTTCTCCTGGGGATATTTAGGGCGAAATATAATAGAAAGATAAAATCAGGGGTGAAATGCTCCTGGATCAGACCAGATCGTCCGATCCGGTAGCAATCTTGGTTGGTGGTTCGGCGATCCAGTAGCGACGGGGAGCATAACTCCGCCCACCCAGCCAGGTGTCAAAAGGTCTGCGCACCCATGGTGTGTACACTTCAGAACCAGTAAGGAAGGTAAGTAGATTTCACCCCTGGATAAAATATTTGATGTGACATATATTAATGGCGGCAAGGATTACCTCTGCGCAGTATTGGAAGAAAGATAGTATACCGCCAGAGGGATTAGTAGTTCAAAAAATATTTGATTGCATGGAAACGGACAAACTCACATTAGAGTTAAAGGGAAAGGATGACTCGGATTATTACGCGGTATGGGAGAAATGGTATGAATGGATAGATAATAGAAATAAGGAATGGAAATGTATATAAAGGAATGGAATGTTTAGAAATATAATGTATGCAATGTATTGAATATTGATTCTAGTTGTATGAATAATGTCACAGATCTGTTAAATAAGTAACAGAGATATGTATAGAATAGAATAGAATAGAATAGAATAGAAAGAACAGAACAGAACAGAATAGAGTTTATGGGTTTTAAAATTCCCAATCCAGCCTTAAGCTTTCAAATTTCCTTTGTAGTCCCTTCTCCAAGGAAGCAGGGGGAAATCCTTGGTTTTTTTCCCCAAAGTCTTTGCTTTCTTGGGGAAGATTCTTCATACTGATTCTTCAAATCGGGCCCCAGGTTCTGCCTCAGTTTACCTTCCCAACAAGCAACCAAGTCGGAAGATCATTTAAAAGCAGTTTATTAGAGTACCCTGATAAAGTGGGATCTCTCTAGGAAAAAGGGAGAACCTCGAGGCCCATCTTACATTCCTTTTTATAGATAACGCAAGAAAGGAAATGCAGGTAGGAAAGATGATTGGACAGGATAAATGTAACCCTCCCCTTTGCATAGGAAATCAGTTACATGTAGTCAAACAGGTGACATGTTTGTATCCCATAATATCACACATGTTCATTAAAATGAGATCTGATGTCAGAAGGGGAATAAATCAGGGGTGAAATCCAGCAGGTTCTGGAGAACCGGTAGCGGAAATTTTGAGCAGTTCGGAGAACCAGCAAGTACCACCTCTGGGTGGCCCCAGAGTGGGGTGAGAATGGAGATTTTACAATATCCTTCCCCCAGGAGTGGGGAGGGAATGGGGATTTTGCATTTTGCCATGCCCACCAAGCCACACCATGCCCACCAAGCCACGCCCACAGAACCAGTAGTAAAAAAAAATTGGATTTCACCACTGGCATAAATGGTAAGGAAAAAGGTTGTTTAGAGTTCACGAAAGAGATAAACCAGAGCCACAATTTATATTAAGAAACTTCCTTTTTTTTTCTTATCTGGAGCTAGTCTCCAACCAGTTTTATCTTTTCAATTTAGGAATGTTAAAAGCTGTTCCTACGTTCCAATCTGTAATGAGCCCGGACATCATTTTAAAAGAGAGAAAACAAGTTCAACTTCAAATACAAACAAACAATGTTAGTTCACAAGTTACAAAATCCCTGTCGTGTGTCCCCTCATCCCTACAGAATCTGATTTACAACCTCTCCAAGCCCAGCTTCAAGCAAGTCAGGGCATAAGTCTTACCACATTGCGGACGGAACAAGCTAGGAATGAGATACGGATTTCCGGGTTTCCATAGAGGTCGACGCCATGGGTGAATCCGCACTGGGTAGCGATGTAATCAGTCACAGAGATACGCTGGCCAAGTTCATCTAGGGAAAGGCAGAAACAAATTCATTTATCCAAGACAGTTCTGTAGCATCTTCCACTCTTGGGGTTCAAGAGTGGACCCCAAGAGTGAGGACCATACTATCATAATAGGTATGGTGCAGGGGTGAAATCTAAAATTTTTCCCTACCGGTTCTGTGGGCGTGGCTTGGTGGTGGTGGGGTGTCCTGTGACTGAGTGGGCGTGGCCAACTCGATGTCACTCACAGCCACGCCCACTCAGTCACAAGACCCTCTCCCATCAAGCCACGGCCACAGAACAGGTAGAGAAAAATTTTTAAATTTCTATTCTGCCGGTGTGTCCTTACCTTTCTCCCACGGCTCCGCTCACCCGCCTCATTCCCCGGAGTCGGGGAATGCACCAGTCCCCGACTTCGGCCTTGCCACGGAGCTACTGCCTGCTCGCCCTTTGCCACGTGGCTCCGTTCACCCGCCCCATTCCCCGACTCCTACTGCTCACCTTTCTCCTGTGGCTGGCTGTCAGGGAAGGAAAGCACCCCAAAAATATCGGAGTCGCTCACTCTCCTTCTTGAATGAGCCGCTCTGGTCCACACGCCGGCTGCGCAAGCGCACATCCAACCTGCCGCTGAATTAAATAAACGGTGTGCGCTTGCGCAGACGGTGCGTGGACCAGAGCAGTTCATTCAAGGAGAGTGAGCGACTCCAGTAACTTTCGGGCGCTTGCCTTCCCTGACAGCCAGCCGCGGGAGAAAGGTGAGACGTAGGATCCCCCGCGTGGCGAAGGGCGAGCAGGCAGCGGCTCCACGGCAAGGCCAGAGTCAGGGAATGGTGCATTTATTTATTTATTTATTTATTTCAATTTATATACCGCCCTTCTCCAACAGGACTCAGGGCGGCGAACAGCCGGAATAAAAACAAAACATACAAAATTTAAAAGCAATTTAAAATAATTAAATATTTTTGGCCGCGATTTAAGAACAAACCCAATTTAAAACCAATTAAAATTTAACCCAAAAAACTGTGGGATCAAGCCAGCCCGGCTAGTTGAAATAAGTAAGTTTTCAGGACCTGACGAAAAATCCGGAGGTCTGATATTGTACATATCTCTGGGGGGAGGTTGTTCCAGAGGGCGGGTGCCGCCACAGAGAAGGCTCTCCCCCTGGGGGTCGCCAGCCAACACTGTCTGGTGGACGGCACCCTGAGGAGGCCCACTCTGTGCGAGCGTACTGGCCGGTGGGAGGCTATTGGTGGCAGAAGGCGGTCTTGTAAATACCCCAGCCCTAAGCCATGGAGTACTTTAAAGGTGGTCACCAACACCTTGAAGCGCACCCGGAAGACCACCGGGAGCCAGTGCAGCTCGCACAGGAGAGGTGTCACATGGGAGCGCCCCATTGCTCCCATAATCCCCCGTGCGGCCGCATTCTGGACCAGCTGGAGCCTCCAGGTGCACCCCAGGGGGAGCCCCATGTAGAGAGCGTTGCAGTAGTCCAGGCGGGAGGTGACGAGTGCCTGAGTGACCGTGCGTAGGGAGTCCCGATCTAGAAAGGGATGCAACTGGCGTATCAGGCGAACCTGATAAAAAGCCCCCCTGGCCACGGCCGTCACATGGTCTTCTAAAGACAGCCGTGCATCCAGGAGGACGCCCAAGTTGCGAGCCCTCTCCGTGGGGGCGAGTGATGGGGCGAGTGGGTGGAGCCCTCTCCGTGGGGGAAATGGGGCGAGTGGGTGGAGCCTCCAGCTGCCATTGCTACTGGTTCTCCAAACCACCGGCCATCATTGCTACCTACTTGCCCGAGCCAGTCCAAACCGGGAGCATTTCACCCCTGGTATGGTGTATGAAAAGAAGGACCAGGGGGTGACATGATAGCAGTGTCCCAATATCTCAGGGGCTGCCACAAAGAAGAGGGAGTCAAGCTATTCTCGAAAGCACCTGAAGGCAGGACAAGAACCAATGGATGGAAACTAATCAAGGAGAGAAGCAACCTAAAACTAAGGAGAAATCTCTTGACAGTGTCTATGGAGATTATCAGTCATCCAGGTCCGTGATGACGAACCCATGCCACGTGTGCCACAGGTGGCACTCAGCGCCCTCTCTGTGGGCACGGGAGCCGTTGCCCCAGTTCAGCTCCACCACGCATGCGCGCGTGCCTCCCACCAGCCAGCTGGTTGGCGGCTCTCTGCCGTGCATATGCAGGGGCAGGACACGTGCAGGATGCATATGAGCATACGCGGGATTTATGCGGGGGCAGAGCACATGCGGGGGGCGTTCATTCCATTTTGGAGATTTGGCCACGCGTTTTGGGCACTCGGTCCGGAAAAGGTTAGCCATCACTGATCTAGATCATGGTTGTCCCATTGGTGATTTTTCAAGAGGCAAGTGGACTTCCTGATTTTTCTTTGAAGACGTTTCGCTTCTCATCCCAGTAGCTGAAGAAGCTTCTTGGATGAGAAGCAAAACATATTCAAAGAAAACCCAGAAAATCCAGTTGCCTCTTGAAAAAGCACCTTTGGGACATCTCTTGACAGTGAGAACAATGAATCAGTGGAACAGGTGGCCTCCAGAAGTTGTGGATGATCCAACGTTGGAGATTTTCAAGAAGAGATTGGCCAGCCATTTGCCTGAAATGCTCTAGGGCAGAGGTGGTATTTAGCAGGTTCTGACCAGTTCTGGAGAACCGGTAGCGGAAATTTTGAGTAGTTTGGAGAAACCGGCAAATACCACCTCTGGCTGGCCCCGCCCCCATCTATTCTCCGCCTCCCGAGTCCAAGCTGATTGGGAGGAAATGGGGATTTTGCAGTAACCTTTCCCTGGAGTGGGGTGGGAATGGAGTTTTTACGGTATCCTTCCCCTGCCATGCCCACCAAGCCATGCCCATAGAACTGATAGTAAAAAAAGTTCGAATCCCACCACTAGATAGGGTCACCTGCTTGAACAGAGGACTGGACCAAAAGACCTCCAAGATCCCGTCCAACTCTGCTATTCTGTTATTGAGGCTACACTTTTTTTTTTTTTAATTAGATTTATATGCCGCCCTTCTCTGGAGACTCAGGGCGGCTTACAGTGCGTTAAGCAATAGCCTTCATACTTTTGTATATTTTATACGAAGTCAGCTTATTGCCTCCACAAACCGGGTCCTCAATTTACCTACCTTAGAAAGGATGGAAGGCTGAGTCAACCTTGAGCCTGGTGAGATTCGAACTTACTTTAATTGCAGACAGCTGGTGTTAAATTACAGTGCTTTTAGTCTGCAGAGCTATCCAGGTTTTATACACTAAGGTTTTAGGACTATATTTATTTATTTATTTATTTATTTATTTATTATTAGTCCAATTTATATGCCGCCCTTCTCCGTAGACTCAGGGCGGCTTACAATGCATTATAGCAATAGCCTGCATACTTTTATGTATATACATGCTTATTAGGGTTTTCGGCCCTCCATAAGCACTGTTGTTCTATAGAAAGCTGGCTTATTGCCCCCACAATCCGGGTCCTCAATTTATTATGTTTATTTTAGTTGACTCCAACTCAGGAACAAGGAATGTGCCTTTGAGCAGGCACTAAATATTTCTGCCGTTGAGAAATAGGTCAGCCTTACCTAAACTCTACCTAAATCCTTACCGGCCCATTTACTTACTGAAGACACTGTAACTCCAAGAATTTTGGCCCAATGCAGACTTGTCCAGCCATATCCAGAAGTAGCGGTCCCGACATTCAGTCCGTACAGTCCCTTTCAGAAAAGGGGATATTTTTTCCAATAAGCAAGCAAACAAAAATCTAACAAGATTGCCCCCCTCCACCCCACCAGTTCTTTGTGGCTTCCAGAAAACTCTTTCCTGGCCACCTATACTGATCGCTCCTGGCAATTCTTGAGACTGGCTTCACACATTGCGTTAAACCAGGGGTCGGCAACCTTAAACACTCAAAGAGCCACAAAGGTCCTAACCGGAAGCTCCCCGTTCAATTCTGGAGCCAACCGGAAGTCCGGTTCCCCCACCATAGAGTCTCCTCCTAGCGTGGCATCCTTTTTCCTCTACCTGTCCTAACCGAAAGCCCTATCAATTGTGGAGCCGACCGGCGACAGGGAGTCGCAGCAGATTAAAGAGCCACATGCGCCTCCAGAGCCGCGAGTTGCTGACCCCTGCGTAAAACCATAATAGGATGTGTTAGAAGTCAGGCTAGCTTGTGCTGTGAGCCAATGTCACAGGCAGCCCAGCAAAATTTGATTTCTTATTCTAATGCTCTTGTCTGGATTTTCTTTTTTTGCATTATTTCTTAACATTGACAATTGTAAGATGTGTGGACTTAACTCCCAGAATTCCCCAGCCATCCATGCTGGCTGAGGAATTCTGGGACTTAAAGTCCAAATATGCTAAATTTGCCACAGTTGAGAAACACTGGTCTAGATTATTAAGAATGGAATGGAATGGAATGGAATGGAATGGAATGGAATGGAATGGAATAGAATGGAATAGAATAGAATAGAATAGAATAGAATAGAATAGAATAGAATAGAAGTAGACTAAAATAAAATAATAAAATAATAAAATAAATAAAATAAAATAATAAAATAAAGTAGAGTAGAGTAGAGTAGAGTAGAGTAGAATAGAATAGAATAGGAGTAGAGTAGAGTGGAGTAGAGTAGAATAGAATAGAATAGAATAAAAGAGAATAGAATAGAATGAATAGTAGAATAGAATAGAATAGAATAGAATAGAATAGAATAGAATAGAATAGAACAGAACAGAACTAAATAGGCTTTATTGTCACTTTGAATATACACTAATTGGCATGCATTAAAAATGAAATTTCATTGCATACAGCTCTTAAAGGGTCACCACCTCCAATTTTACACTGCATAAACAAGACAAGATAAATACAAAATTATGTATATACCCACATAAATTATATGACACAGAGAAGCAACAGAGTCTAGTTTGGATGTATACATATTTATGGCAAGAAAAACGCTGTTAGAAATATTTTATTAGCTCAAGTCTGCACAGAAATTCAATAGCTACTTCCTGCATGTTATTTATATTTTTTGCAAGTAATTTCTATTCCCGCCATTTCTATGCACATCGATTTTCAGCTGAAGAAAGCAGTGCTAAACTTGAAAAACATGAGGCAATCACCATTACCGATTAGCAGAAGATTAATACAGAAGAGTGAATTGGGTCTATTTGTATTTAAAACATAAAATTAGTAAATGTTCTTCGCTACCCTCGCAGAACCAACACGCTTACCTGTGGGGAAAGGTATGGACACCACTGCCTGGCTCCCCAAAATATAGAATAGGATACTATTGGAAAAACAAAGGCAAAAGACAAAAAAAAAAACAAAATGAGTTTTGCTTTGGATTGATGAGATGGAGAGAAGGATGAGGCTTCAGAGAAAAATTGAGGTGGAATTATATCCTGCAACATCTCAAACCAGAGAATAAATTAAGAAATGTAGGCAACCATCATTTGATCTTCTCTGGCAAGGAAGAAACATAAAGCTACCGCAGAAACAGTAAGAGGGTAAATTGAACGAGCAAATTACTTTAGGCGTCGATCTATGTTTCAGGCAGAACAGAAAGGGGAGCCATCTTTAAATATTCAAGGTTCGTGAAGAGATAATAAAGCAGTTTTAAAATCAAAGAGATTCTGTTAGAGCATCTTGGACCATAGGGCTCGCTTGCCAGAGGTTTCGGGTATCTGGGAGTTGCCAAGTTGAAAAAAAAAATTCCAAATAAATAATAGTCCAATATTATTATTATTGGGTCTATCAACCCAAAGAGACAAACCAGTTTAGTGTAGCGGTCAAGGCATCAGAGTAGAAAATGGGAGACTGTGAGTTCTAGTCCTGCTTTCGGGCACAGTAAACCTTGGGCCAGCCACAAACTCTCAGCCCTAGAAATGAGGCAATGGCAAACCTACTTCTGAAGAACCTGACTTGTCCAGGCAGTCACTGAGATTCATACAATATATGAGTAAACAGAAGGAAAAAAAACTCAGAGGGGATAATAATAATAATAATAATAATAATAATAATAATAATAATAATAATAAAAGCTTACATCCTCCGACGATACCTTAACAGTTCCTAGGTCCTTGGTTAGGACTCGAGCTGCTGAGCTATTAACCAGCCTCAAAAGCTGTGAATCTCGCTAAAGATTAACCAATAAATAATAATAATAATAATAATAGCAATCCGTATCAATCCGTATCAATCCATATCAACCATTAGCACCAGTCAATTGTATTTGTGACGCAATTTTAAATGTTCAATTGACTATAATAATAATACTAATAATACTAATACTAATAATACTAAAACTAATAATAATAGAACTGGAAAAAATCACGAAATATCGTGACCTGGCCATTGGGGAAGGAATGGAGATTTTACAATATCCTTCCCCTGGAGTGGGGTGGGAATGGAGCAGTGGTGGGTTTCAAATTTTTTTACTACGGATTCTGTGTGTGTGGCTTGGTGGGCGTGGCATGGCTTGGTGGGCGTGACAGGGGCGTGACTGTAAAATCTCCATTCCCACCCCAATCCAGGGGAAGATTACTGCAAAATCCCCATTTCCTCCCAATCAGCTGGGACTTGGGAGGCAGATAATAGATGGGGGTGGGACCAGTCTGAATTTTTACTACCGGTTCTCCAAACTAGTCAAAATTTCCACTACCGGTTCTCCAGAACTGGTCAGAACCTGCTGAAACCCACCTCTGGAATGGAGATTATGCAGTATCCTTCTCTTGCCACACCCAAACCCACAGAACCCGTAGTAAAAAAATTTGAAACCCACCACTGCTTCATACTGTCTCCACTTGGTTTACAAAACCTAACCATGAACTGACCCCGTGGCTCTTTTCACAAAGACCCTTTAAAACCCCAAAGTAACCAAAGACAATTTAACCTTGCAGGCTGTGAAAAACCCACCCTACGGTCAACTTGAGGATGTTGGCTTATGCTGCGAACCCAGAATGTTGGCTTAAAGGAACAGAGCTCAGCTGTGAAGCAGACGTCACAATTCTTATATACACGGTTCACCCATTTGGGCCACCTTAAAACAAATACTACAAATCTACAAAGAGTAGTTCTGTGTTTCTCTTTCTCCACACAAAAACTTCACCAATGTATTTGGGAATTCTATCCAACAAACCAACCTCTTTTTCTCCAAATTACAAACATTGAGGTCTGGTTTTTAATCACACCCCAAGGCGTTTTCTTCCCCCCTCCTCAGCTTTCCTAATTTTCAAAGGACTTCACACCTTTAGAATCAACTCTTTTGAGTTTTTCTAAACAAAAGTCAGGCACCTCTTTTTCCCCCCAGACAAACCCCCTTTTCTCTGGCTTTTAAAATGAGAAATAAAACAAGGCACATACATACCCTACAAACACGAGAGACTTCATGTTGGAGATGGGGGGGGGGGGAAAGGCTGCTTGCCTGTAGCAGCCAGCTAATAATATCTTAAGTTTCAGAAACTTATCACAACCACTTCTCAGCTTCGCTCACAAACTCTGACTTATATAGGTTTCCGGTTCTGGAGTTAACAATGGTTCCAGGTGTTTCCAGTCCTTGGTTAATTTATTATTTAATTCCTCATGATTTCATATTGCCTATTTTGGCTAAGGGTCGGATGCTAAATGAATCCTGAGTTAGAGAAAGAGATTGAGGGGGATTCCCTTCAGATTCTGGGTGTGAAATACACATGCTGTAGTTTTATTGTAATTTTCTGCTCATTGTCTCATTTTATTTCTCTCATCACCTCCAGGGGTTGGGGGGAAAAAAAAAAACATTTAGGGAAGCCCATTCAAAATAACAAGACTGCTGGCATCCTACGTTTCTTTTCTTGAAATATAAAAATCAATTTCATAAATAGAATAGATTAAGAATTATAGCTTTACCGTGACTTTAACTGAACATTAACAACATTAAAATGAGATTTCGTTTGGTTGGTAACCATCTCCAATAAATCCAATCTATTTCTTTTTTTTTTTTTGAAAAAACTTTATTGAGTTTTTTTTAAAAAAAACATAAATATAGTAACATTTCTTTTTTTTTTTATTGCAAAAGTTTTACAATTACATTTTCACCCCTTTTTCCCCCCCACCTCCCCCCCAACCTTCCCAACCTCCCTAACCCTCCCTAACCCTCCCCTCCCCCCAGACTTCCCTATAATATACTCATAATCATGAAGAACCCTAATATAACACTTATATATAAACTTGAGCCCCTCCCTCCCCTGTATAATTTTTCTCTTTATCTCATTACTTTAAAAAATTTCTAATACATTGTTTTCAAGTAAAAGCTATTTGATACTTTCTAGTTTGATATTTGTTCTGAACATATTCTATCCACCTTTTCCATTCCCACTCCCATTCCCCAAAATATATATATATATATATATATATAGTAACATTTCCATTAATATCAGACGTGCGGTGGTTTTAACTATATACAAAATATATTTCTGGTGACATTTCAAATTCCTTTTTGCTTTTATTTAACACACCTTTTTCTCTTTCTTTCATTTTATCATGCATCCATTCATACCACCTTCCCCACACAGTATAATATTCTGATCTATTTCTTATTCGTTCTATTTTTCTTGTGTTATGGATTGCACCAGTAGAGGTGTATATTCGTCGTATACACCGTGTACAATGACAATAAAGGCCACTGAAGAAAAATATTATTGATTAATTCAATGAATTGAATTATTTTAATTAATCAATTAATTAATTCAAATTAGGGGGCTATAAAATATAGTTGCTTTATCCAAGAAACTCTTAAGAAGTAAATTCAATCAGGGCAAAGAAATGCCAAAGATTCCCCCCCCCCTTCCTTCTAGTAAAATCTTGTGTATATTTCTCAGGTGGAAACCGAGAGGATACACAACAGCTTCACCTTTAAGCTGCCAGTCATTGCACCGTAGAAAGTCCTGATGTGAAACTCAGACTGTTAGAAACCAGATCTCCTGTGCCAAAAAGAAGAAGAGGAGGAATTCATAAGAAAAATTATAATTTCTAAGGAAAAAAGTTACCCAGAATCAGTCTCAGCTTAGGCACCTACTTTTCAGATCAAAGGGGAAAGGGGAAGGGGAAAGGGATACAATATGTTTCCTTGACTAACAGGTTTCCTGCCTGAGCAGGGGGTTGGACTAGATGACCTCCAAGGTCCCTTCCAACTCTGTTAAGTTTTACTAATTTTGGCATAATTTCATGCCATTTGGGAGCCCAGAAGTTTAATTTATGCTTTTCGGATTGGGAATGATCTCTTGATTTCAGCAAGCACGTGGAGTTATAAAACAATTTGTATGTACGATGGGGGCAATTTTTTTTTCTTTAGATATCATTTTAGAACTTTTGTTTTTCTGGTACAAGAGCCAGACATTCAACAGGTGAAGCCTGTTAGCTGTTTTTCCATGATAAAGGAAAGCAATACATGCACTTGGCTTTATATATATATATATATATATATATATATACAGAGAGAGAGAGAGAGAGAGAGAGAGAGAGGGAGAGAGAGAGAGAGAGAGAGAGATGGAATATATGGTAAGATCTATCTATCTATCTATCTATCTATCTATCTATCTATCTATCTATCTATCTATCTATCTTACCATATATTTCCTTCCCATAGAGGCTAAGTATTTGCTTTCTT